GGTTGGAGTGGTCCTCAGATGAAAATCAGCCCTTCTTTTTGAATAAGAGAGTTTCCAGTCTTTAGTTGGTTATCTTTAAAATACTAAAGGGTTATGCTAGGATGAACCCCCAGGTGGTGCAGTGGTAAAGAACCCGCCTGCCAATGCAGGAGACGTGGGTTCGATCCCTGGGTCGGGAAGATCTCCTGGAGGAGGAAATGGCAGCCCACTCCAGTATTCTTGCCTGGGAAGTTCCATGGACAGAGGAGCCTGGCTGGCTACAGTCCATGGAGTTGTAAAGAGTCAGATACAACTGAGAGAATAAACACACGATAGAATGAGGATTATTTTCATGCCCTGTGTAGTTTTTCAAAGGTGATAAAGAATAAATAAAAGGAATTATTTTTTAAAATACTGAAATATAAAAGTATGTTCTGATTTGGTACAGAATGCTAGCTTTCATACAGGTCTTTAGCAGCATTTCCTAACCCACTGTGACAAAACAAAGAAAAATGAATGTTCTTTTTCTCCAAAGTTGTATTTTAATGTAAGAAGCATATAAGATACACTTACTGGTGGTGGTTCTGCAATCTGTTTTTGTCATGTGCTTCACCAGAATTGAGATGGGCCGAATTGAGGGGGGCGTGGGGGGCGGTATTCACTTGGTGGGAATCGGAGCTGTTTGTGCACAGGCGTGAAAGGCAGCCCCACCTACCCCTACCCCTCAGCCTTTGCATCAGTGCACATCTATGCAATGACAGCCAGTCTCTGGGCCTGATATGTATCTTGTTTTACAATTTGAGCACATTCATTTCAGAGTATTTAATTCTTATGAGTATGTAAATGTTCTTGTTTACTATTTTTTTTTTAAACTATGAGATGACTGCTCGTGTAGGCTGCAGCAGTTTGACTCTTTTTTTCTGTTTTAGGCACATATTTCTTTCTAGAGAAATTTCTTTCCAGAAAAAGTTGTGCTTTAGAGTGGTGCTTCTCAAACTTTAGCATACTGTAAATCATCTGGTGATCTTATTAAACTTCCAGTTGGAATTCAGTTCTGCGTGGCACCTGAGAGCTCCATTTTGTAACAGGCTCCAGGTGATGCAAATGCTGCCCGCCTGTCAACCACACTGTGAGGAGCAAGACTTTACACCTCGTCTCTAAACTGTGAAGGCGATTTGCTGCCTGCAGAACATCCATGTGGCCACTGCTGTTGTAAGTGGTGAGATACATCCTCACTCTTCTGAGTCTTGACTGACTGTTCTCGAGTACAGTGAGTGCACAAGATAAATACAGTGAGATCCATAAGTCATAAAGTTCAAATTCCAAAGTGAATAGCTTTATTTTCAAAATGATTTTAATGATACTCAGTAATGTGCTATGTAAAGAGTAGTTTACAATTGAATGATACTCTTCTGTTTGATTCTCATACTTTAATAGGAGAAAAGCTCTTAACTAATTTATGTTGATTATTGCTCCAATTTGTTTCTTAGAAATCAAATGAACTGTGACACTTCATGTACAAACATGCATACATTCATTTTTACATTTTTGGTGGAAAGACAAAAACCAGTTAATCAAAACAGCAAATATTCTTAAAGATTTATACATTATGTATGAAGGAAACTATCCAAGACAACTTGTCTTTAAAAAAATATACAATTTAGCGTACTTATGCAACATATACATTTACATTTTGACTTTATCTGCCAAAATAAACCACTTATGAAACCATTTTTTAATATTTACATAATGGCTACATTTTCATTCTTTAAGGTTCAAACAGTTAACATTTTGTTTCAAACATTGCCCCCATATATACTTTTTACCTCTAGATGTTTAGCCTAATTGATTAGAATGAGTGTGCATTAATGAGGGCATACTCCTACAAGTTGTGTATATGATTATTTTCTATGTGCAAACTGTATTAAAGATGGACCAGGGAGCGAAGTTTGAGGAATCCTGTTTAATGCTTATGATATCTTAATTTATGAGATTGTCATATATTAAGTTAGAACTGTATATCAGAATAGACAGACTATAAAATTACACCTTTTATAATAACTACTTGTGTAATAACCATCAGTATAATCACTTGTGTGATTATGATGAATTGTTTTCCACTTTTTTTTCACAGTAAATGTTCACTATTTTATAAAAACACACCCAGTTAGGAATCTGTCCAGTTTCTCAGCTTGCTGCTGTAGTGAACAAATGCACAAATTCAAATTTCAACGCAGTTTCTTTAGACTGTTTTACTTTATTATTTTATAAAGCTTGTATGGCAGCCATGCATGAAGCAACTCAATTCTTACCACATTCTATATACATTGTCTATATACCATTTATGAAATGGAAACTTTAAGAGGACATCTTTTAAGCCCTATATTCTACTTACTTTTAAAACAAAAGTATGGCTGAAGAGGAATACAGAGCTGTTGTTTTTTTTTTAAACAATTTTTAAATATCTTGGATGACTATTCAACCTTTGCTTAAAAGTGCTCAGGGAATACTCCTCAGTGGTGCCTCTGCCTTAGACCTGTGGTCTGGTAACAGAAGTTGTATATTAAGGCCACGTGCTCTCGGGCAGTGGTTCTCAGCTGGAGCAGCTGTACCTTCCAGGGAGCATCAGCCAGTGTCTGAGACATTTTTCGATTGCCACGAGGGGGAGAGGGTGCCTCTGATGTTGGTAGGCAGAGCTGTAGACCAAGGCCAGCTAAACATCCTACAGCGCACAGGACAGGCCCCCACTGGGAAGAGTTACCTGGCCCCCGGTGTCAGTAGTGCCAGGGCTGAGAGACCCTAGCCCAGCGAGATAAAGGGTGCTGACGCGTGGCCGACTCAAGTTTGCTGTAATCCAGCTCCTTCGTGGAAGCGGCACCATCAAGGCGACTCATCTGAGGCGAGGCCCGCCGGAGCCGCCAGCCTGCTGTGGGCACGCGACCGCCATCTAGTGTTTATCTAAGGAGGCTTAGAGGCAGGGTAAAGGAGGAGGACATGCTGGAGTTCTTAGCATATTATTTTGAAGAACTAGTATACATATATATACAGCAGTTACCCAGTTTATTAAATAGTCTTTATCAACGTAATGACCAGTTTCCCTCCATTCTTTTTTTAAAACAATCCTTGGAATGAAACAGTGAGTCCGCACAGCTGTTACAAGAATTGGGCCCTACCACATGTAGAGAATACCATGTCGCTTTTGCTATAACCCCCTGACATTTTATTGCTAAGTGTTTCTTTTCCCGTTGTTTCGTCAGACACAAAATGAATCCCGGAACTGTGCAGACAGCCCTGCGCTACCATCACAGGCACACACAAGCTCATGCCTGTTTTCCTGACTTCGTGTCACATTCTGGGAGGATTGTCTATTTGTGTTATAAGAAACCCAGACAATGGGTTTTTAAAAGTTGAAAGTGTCACTACTGAGCTCCACCCCAGTCTCCCCCATTTTATAATGAGGACGCTGAAGTTTCAGAGGCTGAGTGACTTGTCTGAAGCTTTAAGTATGTATTTTCTGACAGAAAACAGTCCCCACAGCCTTTGCCTCTGCGCTTTTTCTCTCAGGCCCTCCTAGAGGATGAACCTAGAAGCCGACAGAGAAAAGAAGGTACAGCAGGAGGAACGGGTGGTGGTCCGCGTGGTGGCCCGTTGACATCATAAGGACCTGGACGCTTGTTAAAATACAGGTCATCAGGCGTCATCCCAATCCGATGACTTAATAAGATGATCAGGAATGGGGGCCTGAGGCTCTCTGGTGAGCAAACTCCCAGGCTGAAGTCGTTCTTCTGGAAACCTAAGTTCTCCAGAAACAAGCACAGCAGGTGCTTACTAGGTGGCTTCTAAGGCCTCCTTGTCATTTCCTGCAAATTCCTGAGACTGTTTATATTTTACCTTGTCTACCCTGCCTGAAATATCAACAATTAGAAGTTCACTTGGGCTTAGTTTTTCTTACATGTTTAGCAACGACTGCAAACAGCTCCCTGAAGTTAAGGGGATTATACAGTAATTCACGCAAGTGCGGGAAGTGGAACGGATGACTTTCTCCTCACACTTGGGGAAGAGCCCCTGCCCTGGGAGTGGAGGTTTGGACAAGAGGTCCCAGGAGGGTGGAAAACGCCGGACTCCTGGAGAGGAAGGCGGGCAGCTGTGGGCCCACAGAATATGGGGGCACCAGGACGTGGGAGAGGTTCATTGTGGAAGCAGAAAGGATCCCAAAGCAATTACTCAAATTTCAAAAACTCATAAGATACCAGCCAGGTCAGCCAGTTTTCATCCTAAAGGAGAAAGGAAATGTCTTATTCCTTCCCAGCGGGGACTCCAGCAGACAAGATTTTACTATAAATGTTATAGATGTTAAACAAGTTAATGCTGTGGCCTCTAAACCCTTTAAGCCACTAACCCTCCGCCACTTAAGAGATTTCCTCTGCAGGAGGCTCTACCAGTCATCAAACATGTTTTGATAAGCACATCATCACAAGAAACAGGACTCTGAAAAACAGCTGTGGGCTGACAACATCAAGTTTTACCTCGTTTATAAACAAAGTTATAACTGAAAATGTCCTCTGTGGCAACTTTGGACAAGCAGCAAAAGTTGAAGATCTGTTTTTTTCCCCAACAGTATCAAAATCCAAGCTAATGATGTATCTACACCTACAACTTCCACTTGTTTAAAAACAGTTGTTTTAAATAATTGGGTTCCCCCACCCCCAAAGGTTATATTTTTCTCTAAGACTTCTCCAGTTTGGAAACATGTCATGCTTCAGATACAATGTACATGATAATGTAAACTCTGGACCAGCCAGCATAAAGATCACGTTTTCCTCCATATAAAATAAGTCTTTTACCCTTTGTACCCCTGACCTCCTGATCCCCTCACAATTTCTTTCCAAACTGACCTGCAGTTCTAATTATTACATTATTTAAGTTACCCTGGGATTAAAAAAAAAAAAATCCATTCATGGGAATAGCAACCCCCGCTGTAGTGCTGCCCCTTCCCACTGCGGTGGGAGCTGCTGGGTGATTCAGCTGTTGAGTTCTGTGTTCTCGTCAGTTTCATCTGGACTTTTGGTCATTTTTTCATATTTTCTTTTGAAGAATCCAAGCTGTAAGATGATGTAAAAATGTTACCAGTTGTGGCTTATTTTGTATGAGACCCAGACCCACCCCCTGCCCCCGGAGGTGGGGTGCTCCAGAGAGGTGGCTGTGCAGAATATTGACCTGGCATCAGCCCTTCAAGGAGGAGATTGATACCCAGAGTTGAATGAATTGCATAAAGTTAAAAATTTTCAGGGTCTGCTTATTTGCAGCTGAACAAAACATTCAGGGTCAGCATGAAAGAAGGTTGGGGTAAAGGGATCAAGACCACTGGAGATAAAATCCTTACTGATTGTTTTCAAAAACTTGAGTGAGAATATGCAAACAAACTTGCATTTCCTTTTTTCTTACAACATAAAACTTAGGGCAGCTCTGTGATAAGAAAATTGGAAGACAGAGGTCTTTAGGACCCTCATATCTTAAAATATGAAACAGTTCTTACCTTCCATAAAATTGCAACTAGAGCCAATAGCAAAAGGATTCCAGCGATCACACTTCCTACTATCACTCCAATTGGTACTTCAACTTTCTCATGGGGTTTCATTATCGTAAGGGGAATCTGTAAGTGTATATACAAAACAATTGTGTTAATTTTAGACTGGGAAAAAAGGTGAGATGGTCTAGTCAAATCCTCTAATCTTAAAAGTGATGGTCTAGAAAGGGGATGTGATTTCCTCATGATCGCAATCCTCAGTTAAACATTGTGAAGTAGAATCTCCAGAGAAAATGAGCCTGCAAATACAGGCAAAGCACGCAAGTCTTCCCCTTTTCTTCCTTTAATTGCATCAGTACTTAGCAGGTAAGTCATCTCTGACAATCTCAGATGCTTTAATCATTTATGAAATGGGAACTTCAGTGTCTGACATCCATTCAAGTGAAAGCATTTGGAGCCCAGTCTTGGGGAGGGGAGTCAACAAATTAACCACCCAAATCCCTTGTGATTAAACAATAATTTTGTATTGGGTTCCTAAAATGTTGATTTCACTTACTCTCACTCAAGATTACTTCACAATGAGTTGTTAACAAGTAGAAGTAATATCTCAAGACTCAAGCTGACATTTTCAATGATAAATTGCCCTTGAGGCTACATGTGATTCTTAATGTCCATTTTCTGTCAGTCTTTGTGACTTTGGGCTTCCCTGGTAGCTCAGCGGTAAAGAATCCACCTGCCAATCCCTGGGTTGGGAAGATCCCCTGGAGAATAAAATGGCAACCCACTTTAGTATTCTTGCCTTGAGAATCAAATGAACAGAGAAGCCTGGTGGGCTACAGTCCATGGAGTTGCCAAGAGTCGGATGTGACTTAGCCACTAAACCACAACATCAGCATGGCTGCTATAAGTTCTAACTGTAACACTGTATTATTATTATTTTTTTAATTGAAGAAAGATCACAACCATTTCCTCCACAAAGAATATTCTTAAAAGAGTTACATTTTGGAACCAAATGAGAGGAACCTAACTTACTTACTTGAATTTAACACTGAATTACAATGAGAGATGAGCTGCATTTCACCAAAGCATTTATGAGTTGGGCTAAATTTTAGTCTGGTCTTTTGGTGACTATAGTTCTTCTAATTTGGATTTTGAAGGGCTAAAATAAAGCTTCATAAATTTAGGAATAAAATAACTAAATTCATATAGTTCATTGTGTAGTGGCCATCATATCCCTACTTCTGTCTATTTTAGAACGTCCTAATCCAGGCTCCATGGATCTTTAGGGAACCATGAGTACAAGATTTTTCTATCAGATTTTTAGGCAGGCTTAGAATTCAAATAAATCTAAGAATCATTCATCTACCTATAGGGATAGGTCAGTTTATTCTTTGGATTCCAAAAACTATTTAAAAATTATTTAAAATAGTATTTGAATTAAAAAAAAATTTTTTTATAGACACAAGTAGTAGTCAGCCTCTATTATCAGCATTGAGCAGAGAAAACCATGAAAAGAAAAATCTCCCAAAAGGTTCATTGATGTTAATTTGAATTTTTCATTAACACATATATTTAGTCCAGGTTTCCTAAAGATTTCAGCAGAGGTCCAGGTATTGTCTGAATACTGCATTTTTCTGAAATGAACTTTTAACATATGTAGAGTATTTCCTTCTCCCAACCCCGCAGGCTAAGTTCATAGCACTCTGATTTTGAATCCCACATTTCCTTTGGCTCCATTTCTGGCTTTCCACACTCCAGCCTCTGAAGATAGGGTGTGGGCCTTCGCTGACAGCCCTAAACCAGAAGCAGAAAAGCATGCTGTGCGGAATCATTTTTGTTGGGACAGCAGTGGAACAGCAGTGCTGTGAGCACTACACGCAGGCACTGAGAGTCCAGGCTTTGCAAGGTCATTGGCATTTTAGCCAAGTCCATAGGCTGCAGCAGTGGACTTGAGGCCAGCGGCCCAGCTGGCCTTGGGGGCAGAGTCTTGAACTGGCTTCCAATTCCTAACAAAAGCATTGGGAGGAAAATGCCCAGGTCTCTGCCAGCAGATTAACTGAGCATGGAAATCCTGCTATATCTAAACACAGCATATTCTGAGCAGAGTTCCAGTGCAAAGGAAGGCTGTCCCATGCCAGCTCTTGCAACAGTGAGCCTTTGTTTTCTGTGAACATATGTTTCTTTGCCAAATCTTTTTTTTTTTTTAATCAAGAGAAGCATTTATAGTTTTCTAGACTGAAGATCTAATGAATGGATGTGTCATATAGTGTCAGTATCATTTGTAAGGAGTACTACTTAAAAAGCCTTCTAATAAATGCCTTATTTATTAAGCATACTTCAGTACTTAAAAAAAAAGTACTCTGAAATACTATGTATGATTCAAATGAGCATGACTTAGACTTCATGGCCTAGGATGTAGATTACTTAGTGTAAGCATGAGCAGAAAGGAGGAGCTGAGGTGCTGGTTGGGGCAGAAGCAGTGAGAAGGGAGCCACAGCCAGATGGAACCCCTTGCACCCTGCCTTCTATGGGATCATCATGTCTGATCCAACTTTGCCAACGTGGGGACATGGAGTAGGGCAAGTACATAACTGGGCTTTTTTGAGTAGCAAACACCCTTGTCAAAAGCTCAACATGCCCCCTGCACACAGCACTGGCAGAGGGGTGGGCAAACCATCTGAGCCACCCCTCCAGCCCGACCCTTGGATACACCCCGCTACCCTCACCCCATATAAGAAAAAACAGCTCCCCTTTCAGGGTGCGAGTAAGCAAGGGAATCTGTTAACTCATTCTTGCTCCCCACCTGCTACAGCAGGGGCCCTAATAAATCCTTGCCTGAAAAAAGAAAAAAAAACAACATGATAAACATTAGACTTTGAGAGTTTCAGTAAGATAGTTCTATATACAGGTAGGTGAGAAGAATGACTGTTCTATAAACTGTCTTAAATGGAATGCCTGTCAGACTCCACGACCCACAGGAAGGGACGTGAGCACTCACCGTGACCATGTTTTCTTCGATCACATATATCTGAGGGTTGTACGTGTCAATTTCTGCAGCTGCTGTTAACTGTACTGTCTGGAAAGTCGACTGGAACATAAGAATAAAGAGTATATTTTTATCCTAGCAGAAGTTAATGCATAAAACAACATGTCCATTATTTATTTCCTTGTGGAAAGTGACTAGAGCAAATGCCAACTCTGAAGACTCAAACATCTTTGTGTGCTTAAATCACTGATGGGACAGGACCCCACGCGGGAACTTCAGCCCGCGTGTGGGCTGTGGGTGGCTGGGCCCTGCAGTGGCAAATTAAACTGAATCTTGGCGGGTGGGGTCTAGATATCAGCTTGTTAAAACTCTCCAGACGACTCAACTTGAAAACAGGGATGAAAAACAAAGGTTTAGAACTGAAGTTTTTAACTGGGAAAGATCATAGTTTAGGCTTTTAAAAACTTAAGTTTGTGACATGAGAGAAAATTGAAAACTTTATACTTGCCTAAGTCACAAAATGAAATAGAAAATCACATTCAAAAAGAAGAGAGTTTTTCCTCTGGGTACACATGTATAAATAATACTGTTTAAGGACCACACATGTCAGTGGCAGATACCTTAAACCTTATGTCAGCGCTATATAACAGTGATAACTTCAGATTTCTTAAGTATTTCTACAAAAATATTGGATTTGGGGCAGGCATTTGGAAGGACATACATTTTATGTTGATGTTATTACTAACCTCCAAAAATGAAATAGTTTTACATGTGTTCTTGAATGCACTTACAGAAAAAGCTAGGCACTACTGCTGTATTGTTTTCTCTATAATAAAATCTTGGGACTGATGCTTATTTTGAGACAAAATAGAATGCCTGGATTTGAGAACTGCCTTCCCATGCTCTGGCTACTAGGATTGAGTTTTTCTGGTTACCAGGGCACATGATTCAATATACTCCATGAGGTAATTTGCTAAACTATATCTGGGAGCCAGAAGAAGAGAATGCATATCCAAAAAGTGAGCAATTTATTTCTTTTCCACTGGCTCAGTCTCTGATTAGTCTTCTTAATTTTCTCAAGATGGAAGACTGCAGCAGAAGTTAACCCTGATCACTGGTCCCTCAAACATACATTATTTGGGGAACATTAAGAGTACTGACAATGGTTTAAATTAGAAAAGGAGGAACAGTTCAGTGAATGCTCACTTCATAGTCCCTGTGGAGTACAGGTGAAAGCATTTCCTTACAGCACCGATAGATATATCTGCCCTCCCAAGTCTGGCCGTTTGCACAGGCGCACGGTCCCCTGCACCGCTGACAAGTGGAGGTGGGCGGGCCATGCATACCCAGGAGTGGGAAGTCACACCTGCTAACATTCAGCCTTCTCCTTACAAAGAGCCAACATGCCATTGATTTGGAGGTCTGAGCAATCGCTTTGTGATGAAATTACTTTGAAATGTTGACTTACACTGCCTCAGAAAAAGGGCAAAAAGTGCTATATTAATGGGCTCTAATACAGGAAATAGGATTCCTATTTCAGACTGGGTCTCCTAGGTAGTCTGAACATCCACTTGGCTGTTGAAATAGCTGAAAACAAGGTGGGGAGAAACATTTGACCTTTCATGAAGGAGGAAGATGTATAAGCCTTGATATACAGTAATTCCTATGAGTGTTTTTCAGGATAAATAATACACTCCTTCAAAATTTTGCTCCCAGAAATGAAACTGCTGCTTCTGAAAACCTTGGGAAGGTACTTTAAAGAGTCTTACAGTTAAAATGATGTAGCTTTAAACAAACTTGAGAAAAACCAAATGCATTTTACAGAGTTGGAGTGATTGCCTTTTGATTTGCAACGGTTTTCCTTCCCAGCTGGCAAAGATTACTATGAAAACATTTGTTCCTCAAATCCAAGGAGCCAAGATCCAATGGGTAAAACTCAGCGGCAATCTGCAGCAGCTGGGATGGTGGCATAACTGCCTGCTTTGCTTCTTACAGTATTTAGAAGCGTCCTGGAGGCTTGAAAGCAACTAATGAGAAAACCAACTAAAAGCAAGCAAACAAGCAGAAAACCCAACTCCTCACTCCTCCACTTCTCTAGCAAAATTTCCCCTGCCTTTCACAGCTCTTCTGTTATTTCTTTATCCAAGAATATTGCTTATATTTTTGTTCCAGGGACAAGTTTGGAGGGAGGTAATTCTCCAATGTTACATAAAACTCCTCAGCAGGGAATGGGGTCTGTTGGAGAGATCACGAAGTGGTTAGCAAATAGGGAATAGGATACAGTTGGTAAGCACCTTAAGGACTGATTTATTCATTTTAAAATCACCTAGAGCTACAAGGCTCCCTGGAGATTTTAGACTAATTTTTATTTTGCCTTAGAGCCAGTGTTAGTAAAATGAACAAATCGCTGCTTATGTAGTCAGATTTAAAGAGCTTGGTCCATCCTTCCAGTTTCCGAGCCAGATTGAAATTCTGGCTTCCGAAATCTCTATTGGAAGTAGATATCACTACTGCCAAGTCACACTTGCTGATGGAATAACACCCTGACATTGTTCTGGCACTTTCTTTGAACTTTTCATGAGATTGAAATGACTTCTAAAAAAATTGGAAGCACACTGGAGATTTCATGAGACAATGGGTAAGAACAGAAGAGCAGAGTGTTTATCTGGCTCTAGGAAGACAGATGCTTAGGTCGGAGTCACCCTCCAGGTGGTCTGAGATCAATTAACAGCCACCTGGGGGTGTCAGGAATGAGGCTGGGCTGTGCGGGCCTTGACTTGGGTGTGGCAGAGACCAGACGGTCAGGGAAGAGCACGAGGAGGCAGATAGAGAAGGTGGCCCCTCGCACCCCAGACAGCAGAGGGGATCCCGATACCACTCCAGGGATTCTGCTGTGGCAGGCTGGCCTGTCTAAGAAGCAGACGCTTTACAAGCACCTCAGGGGATTCAGAGGCACAGCCAGGTTGGGCAAGCCTTGGAAAGGGATGGAAGCATATTGCCTTCCAAGGTAAGATTGCTTGGGGCCACTGGACATGGCTGACATTAACCAGAATGCTAATTTTGTCAAGAGGTGTGAACTTACAATGAAGCTTTACGTTTCCTTGCTATCCATAAACCCAATAAATAAAGCTGATACTTACTGCTGCAAAAGTCCCATTCCAAATCCTGGCGGACACATTAAGGAAGTATTCTCCTTTCACCTGAAGGTCTCTTAGCCAGCATGTGATGTTACTACATGAAGCAGTTCTACAGTTCTTTCAGGTTGGAGTCAATGATAAAAGAAGAGAAGTTAGTATGAGCTTAAAAAAAAGAAATGCTAAAATTTTACGAAGACCGATAAAACCCTGGGGAGGATCTAGGGAAATTGGCAGTCTCGTGAACTATGAGTAATTATTATATAACCCTTCTAGAGATTCTGGCACTTTGCCTCAAAATGTAAGAAGTACATATCCTTTGCCCTGCCATTTCCCATCTGTATGGAGGGCCTCAGGAAATAATCATAAATGAGTGCAGAAAAATACAGCAAGCCTATTTATTGCACTACTATAGACGAGAGAGAAAAAAACGAAATAATTCATGTTTATCAACAGTGTACTAGTTTATTACTGAATATATATACACAAAGGGCTTCCCTGGTGGCTCAGATGGTTAAGAATCTGCCTGCAATGTGGGAGACCTGGGTTTGATCCCTGGGTCAGGAAGATCCCCCAGAGGAGAAAATGGCAGCCCACTCCAGAATTCTTGCCTGGAGAATCCCTATGGATAGAAGAGCCTGGTGTGCTACAGGCCATGGGGTCGCAAAGAGTCAGACAACTACTGAGTGACTAACACTTTCACTTTTTTGTGTATATACACAAAATTCAGTTCAGTTTAGTTAGTAACCTCATGATAAAGATGCATTCCTTGAGTTTTAAAAAAGTCGTCATTAAAAGAGTCAATGGTTACCAAGGAAGGGTTAGTGGGGAGAGAGGGATGAACAGGTGTAGCTCAAAGGAGTTTCTGGGCAGTGAACAACTCTGTATGCCATAATTGTGCACCATGTCATTATACATTTGTCCAGACTCATAGACTATACATCAAGAGTAAACCTAATGTAAACCATGGACTTTGGGTAATTATGATATGTCAATAGGGGGGATTTGATAGTGTGGGAGGCTGTAGGTATGTGGGGGCAAGGGTATATGGGAAATTTCTGTAATTTAAACTCGTTTTGCTGTGAACCTAAAACTACTGTAAAAATAAAGCCTGTTAAAAGATCTATGATATATTGTCCAATGAAAAGAGGTAGCTTGGTCCATTTATGTAACAGTATACATGTGCCTATTTGTAGATTAATGATTAGAAAGAAGAATGTTCAGTAAATGTTACATGGTCAGCTGTTAGATTTCTAGAGAACTTTAGTTTATTCTTTGTAGCTTTTTGTGTTCCGTTTGCTTTATATTGGAAGTTGCCATTTTTACAAAATCAAACATTTTCACAAAAATACGGAAACTTCTAAGAGGTATCATATTTTGGCATGCACTGAGGTGAGTTCCTCTTGGGCATTTTTACATACCTCTGTTCAAATTTAGACATTTACACTGTACTTACACTATAGTTACTTAAGAAACTTTCATTTTCCTAGTTTCCTGTTTTCCCATCCTTTATGAAATAAAACAACTGCAATGACAGGAAAACAGGAGAATTTCCACGTTGTTCATAGAGGAGAACCGACGTTAATCTTGCACATGTGTGCTAAGTCACTTCAGTCGTGTTCGACTCTGTGTGATTCTATGGACTGCAGCCCACCGGCTCCTCTGTCCATAGGATTCTCCAGGTAAGAATATTGGAGTGGGCTGTCATTTCCCTCTCCAGAGGATCTTCCCAATCCAGGGATCCCACCCACGTCTGCTGTTTGACAGGCAGATTCTTTACCCTTGAACCCCCTGGGAAGGCTTGATCTTACTGTTCGCTAAATGTTTATGTATTTGAATACTTAATAATGTGCCGAGCACCATGCTTGACCCTAGACAAGCCTCTTTCCCAAAGAAAGTGGCATATAGTTGCGCAGCAGGATATGATAAAATACGGAAAGCAGAGAAGGGTTGCCAGAGTCAAATTTAACAGCTCAATAAAGACATGAGTGATTCTGTGGAGAAGGTGAGAGAGGCTTTACCTTGCATACATGCCCAGCTCCCGCCCAGCTCTCTGCAGTGTTTCCAACATGCACAACACAAAACTTGTTTGACCTGGGGTCCTTTTGATTTCATGAAATTATAATAATGGCATAAGTGATAATGCCAATAACCTGGTTTTGGCGTATATTTTCTTGATTCACACAGACCATCAAAGGCAAAACAGGAAAGTTCTCCCACGTGTGTAGTGGCAGGAAAAGAGAAGTGCCTCAATTTCCAGGGAAAACAAACAGTGAATCACCCAAGGAAATTTTCACCCCATTAACCTGTCCTTACCAATTCTTTTATGTGCCGGAAATTTTCACTCTTGAAAGATGCAGAAGAAGACGTCTGTCCTATTTTCAGTGGATTTATTTCGGCTTTGCAACTGATGTCACCAGCCTACAAAGAAGGGCATCAAATTGGTCTTCGGAAGCAAGATGGTTTATGATGTTTTCAACTTGTTAGGAAATCCTGTTGTCCCATGTTGGGGCAGGGGAGGGCTCCCAGGATCCCCTTCATTGTGCTGACCTGGCCACAATTCTGTACATCACTACTGTAATTCTGAAGGATTCAAATCCTTCTGATGTGACTGGACGGCATGGTACTGGTTCTTAACAGTCCATGTGTGATGAAAGAATAACAACTGACTGTGAATGATTTCACTTGGGTTCTTTCCTGTGGAACAGTTTAGGCTTTTGCTTCCCTGTAGTCACCTATGAATACCACAAAAGTAATGCTGCTGTAGCATTAGCTAAGTGCTAACCACGGGGTTTGGCTAGAGTATATCAGAACTACCTGGGTGGCTTTCAAAGGAAAACACCAGTGCTAGAGCCTCAGCCCTGGAGATTCTGATATAGTTGCCCGGGGTAGGCCTCGGCATCACACAGATTTGGGAAACGACCCAGGTGATTAAATGAGCACCTGGGGTGGACAAGTCCCAGACAAACGCCCAGGCTGAGAGCTTGAAACCAAGCTACTGACTGCAGCTGTGTGGCCCAATTACTCTCCCATCATGGGTTCAACCTCTCACTTCCCAGCCAGCTAACTTCTCTATAAACAGGGCTCTGACAAAGTCAGATCTTCACCTGATCAGAACAAGGTGCAAATAATAATTTCTGCTATCTGTAAATCCCTAGACTCAGACATTGCTGATGACAATATCCTGCTTCTCATATGAAATTAGCGGCTAGTTAACTGCACCCAGGGTGCAGAGGGATTATCTTTTCAGCTCCTCATCTATAAGATGGCAGCCATGATCACCCCCCACCTCACGGCGTGTTTCCGCATGGAAGGTGTACATTTTTATAGGCAATTTGGCCGCCCTTACCTGGTCTGTGTGCACCCCAGTCACATACATCAGCGGGTTCTTGCCTTTGGTGTATTGAGGGATGTGGATAATTACAGATGCCATGCTTACTGGAACACTTCCTGTTGTCACCTGTGTAGTAAGAACACATTCTGATTGCTGCTACATCAGACACACATTGCAAGGAAGGTGATCAGTAACCTCAGGATTGATGACAGGCAACTATTAAGTAGTTAGATTGAGTCCCTATGGAAGTGAGTCACTACTTTATGGACTCTTTGAGTCCTTGTGTTTTATCTTTCATTAAAATCTCAACGTCTATGATTTGTAGTGGTACACAATTTGTGACTTAGGAGATGGTTAAAAACATTTGCCATCTGTGGGTTTGGCCTGTCAGGACATGAAGTCCCACTCTGCCCCTGATAGCAGTGGGGTTTAGGCAAGATACTTGACCTCTTCATGCTTCAGTTTTCTCATTTGTAAAATAAAGATAGTCAGCAACTCGGAAGTTATGCACAGGCATAGCCTCTGTTCTCACTGGTGGGAAGTCTGTCCTAATTGTTCACGGCTCATGCCCTATTGGGGTTACACATTTTAAAGGACGCTCATAGGAATAATAATCCTACCAATCTAATAACTGATCTGGGAATTAAATGGGTTAACATATATAAAGCATTTCATACAAAGGCTGATACTTATTATATGTCTTTGAATATTATTTTATTGTTACTACTAATTGACTAAATGTTTCATTAAAGAAGTAACTGCCAAATACCATGCACATTTTATAAATTCCATAAATTATCACAAATCAAGATTATCACAAATCAAGATTCCTTTAAGGACTTTTTAAAGAATACAAATTGTCACCAAATTATAGAGTTGTAACCACTTGACAGATTAGTAGAATATGTACAAAAATAAAATGACAGGCTGGTGGATGGATTCTTCCCTTTTTATTTAACAAAGTTTATGTAATGTCATTATAAAATATTCTCTCACAAATTCATTTCTCTTTATATAACTGTAAACAAACTTTAATAATTACCAACTAATAGCCAATAGAAATTGATTAAAAAAATTTTTTTGTATACTACTTAGCATGACTGTACAAAGTAAATATTTGTATACGAATGGTGAGCTTTAAGTTACTCAAACAGAAGTTTGAACCTGTTTAAACTAAACAGAAGTGGTTTCCCAGCATAAATTGGCATCATATTCCAGAGACTGCTGTCCATAGTAGTAGCTTTATGTTAATACTCTGTTGATTAATATTCAATATTTGCTTTCAAAATACACCAATTATCTCTACCCTGGATACAAAACTATGTATCAATACAAAACCCAACTGTTTACTTATGGATGGCCCATCTTTGTGGTGGCATCTGGCCCAGAAGCATCCGCATCACCTGGGAACTTGTTAGACCTGCATATTGTTAGGTCCACCCCAGACCTTTTCAATTAGAACTTCTGGAGATGGAGCCCAGTGGTAGGTGTTTGACAAGACTCAGGTGATCCTAATGTGTGCTCAAATTTGAGAACCACTGGCATATTTCACTTTGTTTTACTTTCTTCTTCTCTTCCTGCCCTCATTTTGCCCCCCTTTCTCTTGATTTCCCACTCTTATGACAGGTGTACCAACCTTAATGGAGAAGATGAATTTTGGACCAATATCTTCAAAACTGTGCACAATAGAAGAAACATTCCCATCCAAGGAGACTTCATAAAAATTTATGTTGGTAGATCTGTTGGATGATATTTGTAAAGCTGAATATTTTAGTTATGCTATTGCTCTTGAAGTTTAATATTTCTTTTACTTATATATCTTCTAGTTTATATTACAAGTGAAAGAATTCACATTTAGGTACAAGGAAAAGAAATATTTGTTATGGACTTAAGGGCCAGTATACATTTCTAAGGCTAAAACAAGTTCCTTTCAAAACATATGCCTTCATGATCTGCTAAGATTCTTTGTGTTATGTCAGTTGTATATATATATATATATATATGTATATATATATATATCAGTTGTAAGTTTCTAAAATAAGTACAAATGTATTACTGCAGAACTTGTAGTGAAACTCTTTGCAAGATTGCTATTATATTGACTGCTGAGTTAATACAGTGGACACCTGGTCCTTATTGATTGGATGAACAGATTTATAAGGCAGAGGATTTTTCGCTTGGTATGATGGCTGAAATATTATACAATATTAAGATATCAGGCATTAGCTCCTGCACTACTCAACACTGGATGCCTGTGAAACAGGGCATACATTTTGTTTATTATTCCTTCAGTATTCTTGCCTGGCAGATCCCATGGACAGAGGAGCCTGGCAGGCTACAGTCCATGGGGTTGCAAACAGTCGGACACAACTTAATGATGAAACAATGACAATGATCCTTAGTTCCAAGCCAACTCTGATGCTTTGGTCAAACTCGGGGTAGGTCCATCCGTTTCCACCACCGACCACAGAAACCACTTCTAGGATGGCTGACTCAGGAGTTTTGTTATTAGATTAGACCTAGAGGTAATGGCCTAGCTGAATGTCTTTCCCTGGGGCTGCTGAGTAGGGTTTGCAAGTGTAAGAATGACCAGGCCTGAGGGAACCCGCACAGGACCACCCAGACTGAAATGTAACTGAATACCATTCCCTCTCTTCACTCATTTCTGGGAATCTGAGGCTGAATTCAAACCAGGGCAGCTTCTTTGGGGGATAGAGGGCAGATAGCAGGGGCAGGAGTCTGAGAAGCAATATTTATTGCCATCAGACCGTTTATCCTAATTATAATATGTTGATTCTATTTCCTAAAAAAAAATTGGACTGGATATTTTCAAGATAGAGTCCTTTGGTTTCTTGACTGAAAATCTTGCCTTTTTCTCTTTTATGCCTAAGAATTTTTCCCCAAATTCTCAAAAGGAAAATATGTCAAAGGGACTTAAATAAATGTAGTATTTGTCAAGGTTATGTCTATGAGAGGAAATAATGATTTGTCAGCCTTACATGGAAAATGGGAAAACTGACTGGGATTTAAAACAGAAAGCCTGACTTCAATAAAAATTAATTAAAGAAATAAAATAGAAAGGCTGGCTGTATGTGCCTTTCGGATCTTTGTGTGAGGCCCTGTGTATGGCCAGTTTTAAACTGATTAATATGCTCTGTTTCTGCATTTAAAAGAGATCCAGCATTCTTTCATTTATTCCTTAAGGGTTCCATCAGTTACTTAAATACTTATCAATATATTTATATTAGCAGTTAGCTATAGTGGGGCAGATCCTGTTTTAGAAATAAATTCTACTGTCATCTATTTCCACCCATCATGTTTGCATAATATAATTGCACACTTATATAGTATCAAAATGGTTCCTAAGGGATATACTCAATAATTGGGATTGGGTAGGACTTTTTTTCTTCAAAAAGTAAGTAAACTGTATGTGTGTGTGTGTGAGGCATATATCCTAGTAGATAGACAGACCCTGCATCTGGAAAATATTCTGGAACAGTCAAATTAATCATTACAAAATGACCAGAGGAGATCAGAGGGATGATTTCTCTTCATTGTGCATTTTTCCATGATGTTTGGATTTTCTATCCGTGCACATTTAACATCTTTCTTTTTAGAGATATTAAGACAAATTATTTGGATGGTAGGTTTACGAGCCATTTTAGCTTTATTCTCGATAATTCTCCATATTTTTTTAACTGCATGATATACTTTAAACATCAGAATGTCTGAGAATCCAATTTACCATCACAAAAATACATAGCTAAGATTTAGTAAATATGAGGTCCTACTTTAATATTACATTTATTTCATCTTAAAATAACTGAAAACATTGGCCATGGTGGGAGAATGGAATGATGCAAAGGCTCTATTAACAAAAAGCATTTAGGATGAGAAAGTAGCATTATAGGTAGGAAGGAAAACATTTGGGTAATGTGGTCCTAGCAATCTCTTAGGCTGCAGCTGTTTTCAGTTACTTATTTTAGCAGCTGAGGGCCCTTTGAAATCTGCAGTTACTGAATAATTTTTCAAGGATGGATGACTTGAGATACAGTTTCTGCTTTTGCCATTTGCAATTCACTTGATACAGAAGCATTCTTTTCATCTTTGCTCATGTGTCTTGAGCTCTAGACATAATGACATATTTTCCTTTTTGTTTTTGCTCAGGGATCTGTTGGATGATCCACATATTCCTTGCTTTTAGAGGCTGGAGTGATGTTAGAGAAAGCTGCGGTCACTGGACACTCCGTAGCCTGGCTCCCTGGGGATACGCTGCTGTGTGTTTTCCAGGGGTCATTGATCTGTGCTGCGACGTTGCCGTGGTGTCTCAGCAGCTAGAGAACTCTGGTTCCCAGGCTGGGAGGTGGGCCGCACCTGGGACTTCTGTACCTGCATGGCTGTGCCGCAATATGTCTGTGCCCGTGAACCCGCCTCACTAAGTGGGAATGAAGGTGGTAACATCAGCACCTGTGGTGTCTACAAGTGACTCACCTCGCAAGACACCAGTCTCTCTGAACAACTCAAGATAATAGGTATCAAGTGGCACTGTTCTGGCCGGTGAACTCAGGTCTACTTGCTTTGGACAGACAAGAAAGTGGAATAACTCATTTCTTTCTGGATGACCTCTTTTGAAAAATGCCTCATTTCATCCTGGTTGGAAGAAACCCCCAATCCACTCTGCCAGGAATTTTCTGTGACGAGATTCAACATTTGTGCCCAGGGCTTTGATGTCCAGGAGTGGGGCTACCACTGGAGATCTCATGTGGGCAGCAGGGCACCGGGGTGGGGAAGGAAGCGGTGGCAGCTCCTTGGGGCCCTGCCAACTCTGCTCCGACAGCTCGTCCTAGGGCTGCAGGGGGCTTCCGCTTGGCATGTGACAGACGATTATCCCTTTGTCTTTCTGGTATCGCTTAGTCAGTAAACCTAAAGAGTCCCTCAAGAGTCTCCTAGGGACCAGTTTTCCCCTGGATTTCTGTTTTAGTTGACAAGGAGGAAATATTTTAATTCAAATTCTCCAGTAAAGAATGAGCATATAGAGGACTTCTTTAGTCACGAACCAAATGTGCTGTGAGCTGCGATCATAGGCTCCCCACTGTTTCACCTACCTTGTTATGTGAATTTCAGCATCGTACAGCAGAGAGAGTTTTAAGTTGACTGAATTATCTGCCATGTTTTCTTCCTGGCTTTCGCTATTGAAAGGAATATTAGCAAATTACTGAAAGAGAAATATTAGAAAAGCCACTTTTCATCAATTCATGACTTCATCATGTTTTACCTTAAGGCTCGGAAACTGACAGATGCCTGGTTCTGAAGGTTTTGAAGATTGAAGTCGAAGTTAATAGTGAAAGTCACCTATACACAAAATGAAAACTCATCAACCTATGATGCTTTGTACTCAGGGATCAACATGAAAAAAAAAGTGTCCCATAAAAGTAAACTCACTCCCATGTGATTCTGAATTTTATGAAACTTAAGTTTTCTAATTTGTAGAATATCTATGTATTTTTCCACCTTGCCTCACCTTCAGAATAGAACTGAATTTACTTAACAAATACATACAGCAGGTCTCATCCTAATGACTCAGTCAGTAAAGAATCTGCCTGCAAAGAAGGAGACCCGGCTTTGATCCCTGGGTTAGGAAGATCCCCTGGAGAAGGAAATGGCAACCCACTCCCGTGTTCTTGCCTGGGAAATCCCATGGACAGAGGAGCCTGGCGTGCTGCAGTCCATGGGGTCACAAAGGAGTTGGACGCGACTTAGTGACTAAACCACCACCACCACCATACAGATCACAGGCACTAATACTTGTCTGAATTTGAAGGCTTTGTGCTGATGTAAAATTTGCTTACCACCAGGGATTAACAAATGATATCCATGACTATGTGTAAAGCACTTTGATTGGTGTTGGTCAATGTGTTTAGAAAAAACTCTATGTTGTATGTGTCTTTGGAAATGAATTGCACAGGGGGAAATCCCACTTTTATTAATAACTTAAAGCATGCAGATATTTAAAAACTTCCTTTAAATATGCAGCCAATTATTTTGTGGTGTCTCTCAAATGATGACACTTAATAAAGAAAGATGGTTCACTGGTGAATTAACACCAATGATGAGAAGGGGCCAGCATGGATTTGGGGATGAAATGGAAGTTGTACCTGTTGTTTGCTCTTTAAAGCAGGGTAGCCCACATTGCAGGTAACAGACTTCTGAGATGAAGCAATCTGGCAGGTCACTTCTGTCCCATCAACCTGAATGAGACCAGAGAAGCAATGATCAATTTTTTTCAATGTCTGTATGTGAGCTCATGCACATTGTGCCAAAAGAAATATAAACCACCTAGACATTTTAGCAGTAAGGTTGTGTTCACACCAAGACTTGAAAATCTATGTATTGTCCAGATGGCTAACATCTATTTTTATTGCTAGACAGGTCACCCAACAAAACAAATAAGTCAGATACTGAAATTTCCCCCAGAAATAAATCATATGTCATATTTCAGAAGCACAAAATAAATTTAATCCACCATTTAGAAATGCTGTCTTTAATACATACCTTTCTCTCAATATATTTGAAAGTTGTAGTTTCAAGAGAAAAGCAAATAAAATATAGCTTTTGTTTATATTTTAAATAACTTAAAAGAATAATCTTTAGATTTCCTCAGGATTCTTCTCTTTAAGAAGCTGTCATTTGGCACAAGAAATTTAAGCACTAAAGTCAGAATTGGTGTAGAACACTAAATCTATTAAGTTTACAATGACTTGAAACTGGATGAAACCATTTTTAAAATCCTTTCATCAAGTAGTGAATTTGGAAAACCTCATTTTTTCCCTTCTCTCCTTTTCACTGCTTGGTGGCAGAGGGACCGGGGGGCATTCATGGTCAAGGGTGTTCCTGGTATAGTGATCAAGTCAACATGATTAACTGACCTCACTGGAATGCATTATCTTGGCAGCAGCAAGACCTGTGGTTACAAAGTTTGGGCTGAGCTGTGGGACTCTAATTTCTGAGAGCAAGTGCAACTCCCAGCATCTGTGCAGCTCCACGGCAGCCTCATCGCACAGATGGCTTGAGGAGAGTTTACGGTAGAGTCTGGCTACAACTGCCAAGCGTCAGGTCAAAGGAAAAATCTGATCCAAGCCATGAAGCTGAACTGGTCTAGATACGCAGCCAGGCTATGTTCTCAAGTAGTTTAACTAGCTGGGAGCCACAAGGAGTTTCTTCAGAAAACACAGAGGACCTGGAAATTTGAGTAGAAGGAAGACTAATTGACAACAAAAATAGCAGTTCACACCAAAGTGCCTTCACATACCGGCATGGACCAGGAAGCAAAAAACAGGTTTTCTGAAAAATCAACAACAATCTCAGTGTTGTAGGCACTTTCCTTCTTGTTTTCCAGTTTGACTGAAAATGTTAACCTTTTGTTCTGGTTGCTGACAATGAAGGGCTGTTGTCTGTTAACAGTAAAAAGAAGAAAAAAAAAGTCATTGCAGTTTTGTTTTCTTTTTTTAAGTCAGCATTCAAATACTTTACTCATTTAAAAAATAGTTTTTATATGGATGAGAGAAATTGAAATTTATACTTTTTATATTGAAGTATAGTTGATTTATATTAGTTTCATGTGTACAATATAGTGATTGAATCTTTTTATAGATTATATTCCATTGAAAGTTATTACAAAATAATGACTATATTTTGTTGTGTTGTACAACATATCTTTGTTACTCATCTATTTTACATTTACATGATATTAATAGCTTGTATCACCTAATTACATACCTATATCGTGCTGCGATTCATGGGGTCGCAAAGAGTCGGACATGACTGAGCAACTGAACTGAACTGATCTGATCTTGCCCCTTCCTCCTTCCCTCTGCCCACTACTAGTTTATTATTTTTCTATTTCTGTTCTGTTATATACATTTGTTTTGTTTTTTAGATTCTCTATATGAGTGAAACAGAATATTTGTCTTTCTCTGACTTATTTCATGAAGCAAAATACCCTCTAGGTCCATCTACATTATTGCAAATGGCAGAATTTGATCCTTTTTATGGCTGAGTAATATTATATTATATTTATAAATGTGTATACATAAATATGTATATACATGTGTGTGTTACATCTTCCTTTATCCATTCATCTATTGATGGACACTTAGGTTGCTTCCATGCCTTGACTATTGTACATAATGCTGCTATAAACATTGGGGTACGTCTATCTTTTCGAATTAGTGTTTTTGTTTTCTTTGGATGCATGTCCAGGAGTAGAACTGCTAGATCATATGATAGTTCTATTTTTAGTTTTTTGAGAAACCTCCATACTGTTTCCCATAGTTGGCTGCACCAGTTTACATTCCCACCAACAGTGTAAGAGAGTTTGATTTTTTCCACATCCTCACTAACATTTGTTATTTATGTTCTTTTTGATGACAGCCATCCTGCCAGGTAGGAAATGGCATGATACTTCATTATGGTTTTGATTTGCATTTCTCTGATGAGCATTTTTATGTGCCTGTTGGCCACTTGTATGTCTTCTTTGGAAAAATGTCTATTCAGGTCTTCCTATTTTATTTTTTATTCTTATTTTTTAAATCAGGTTTTTGGTTTTTTGACATTCAGTTGTACAAGTTGTTTATATATTTTGGATATTAAACCCTTAGCGGTCACATCATCTACAAATATTTTCTCCCATTCAGTGGGTTATCTTTGTTTTGTTAATGGTTTCCTTTGCTGTGCAAAAGCTCTTAAGTTTAATTAGGTCTCACTTGTTTATTTTTGCTTTTATTTCTTTTGCTTTCAGAGACAGAGACAGAAGAACTACTGCTACAATTTATGACAAAGAGTGTTCTCGCTCTGCTTTCTTCTATGAGTTTTGAGGTTTCAGGTCTTATATTTAGGTCTTTAATCCATTTTGCATTTATTTCTGTATCTGGTACAAGAAAATGTTCTAATTTTATCTTTTTTACATGTAGCTGTCCAGTCTTCCCAGAACCACTTATTTAAGGGACAGTCTTTCCTCCATTGTATATTCTTGCCTTTGTTGTAGGTTAATTGACCATAAGTAGATGGGTTTATTTCAGGGCTCTCTACTCTGTTCCATTGATCTATATGTCTGCTCTTGTGCCCAAACCATGCTCTGTTGATTACTGTAGCTTTAAGGCATAACCTGAAGATACTTCCAACTTTGTTCTTTTTTATCAAAATTGCTTTGAAAATGTGGAGTCCTTTGTGGCTCCATATCAATTTTAGAATTATCTGTTCTGGTTCTGTAAAAAACATCATGGATATTTTGAGTGGGATTGCATTAAATCTGTAATTTGGTGTGGACATTTTAACAATATTAATTCTTTTAATCCAAGAACACAGGATATCTTTCCATTTCTCTGGATTATTTTCAAATTCCGTTATCAACATTTTATAGTTTTCAGAGTATAAGTCTTTCACCTCCTTGGTTAAGTTTATTTCTAGATACTTTGAAATTTAGATTTTAAGGATTTTTAGGAGTTGTGACGTTTCTTTTATAGAAAAAAATTTCCATACACAATCACTTGAATAAAGTAATCTAATCTTTTATTTCTACAATTTTCACTGTGCTTTAAAGTAAAACTTACTGAGTAGCTGGCAGCTGCTGAACATTTAGAACTAGATCAGAAATGCAAACTCCATCATCACCACAGTCTTTATGGAAAGGGATCTACAAAAAAAGAGAAAAACAATCCCAGAAATTTGATATTGAGTTAAACAAGCAAACTGTAGAAGAACACATAATAGTATTATTCCATTTACATAAAGTTCAAAACCTTGTGAAACTAAACCATATTTTAGAAATATATACATGTTTAGCAACATCAGAAAGAAAAACATTGATAAATGCAAAATTCAGGATGGTGGTGCTCCCTGGGGGTGCAGGATAAAACTGGATATGATAGAGTATGGAGTGATACAAAGAATTTCAGAGGTACTGGTACCATTTTATTTTTTTAAAATGGTTGTGAGCACAAGGTGTTCCCTTTATTGTTATTTATTTCTTCAATAAGCATTTACTGAGCACCTATGGCAGGGCAAGCACTACTCACAGTGCTGGAAATAGAGCAGGGAAAAAGGAAAACAAAAATCCCTATCTTCATGGAACTTACCTACTGGTGAACTTTCCATAAGTAACTGTACTTCAATTAGAAAATTACCAACTTAGGCTATGTCCTAAGTATCTCTCAAGCACTAAGGCAGTGACTAAAACTTTGCCGGCTAGTCAGGAATTCCAAGAAAGGCAAGCTGCACTTACACTGAAGACCTTGACCGTCTCAGAGTAGGCTTCAAGGGCAGGGTTAGTGCCAGGGTTTTCCAGACTGATATTCATACACAGATTCAGAGGGCTGATAGTATCAGAGGGCTCCTAAACACACACAGAGTTAGTGGATTAGGGCATGGCAGCTTCAAACAAGAAAATGACCACACATGTGCTCACAATTAAACACACAGTCCACTCTCGATCATGCAGAATAGCTCTGTTTTAAACTTTCAAGGCTCTTGCTCCTTCACTTCTATCCTAAGTCTGCTGTTAGCCTCTCCGCTTATAAGAGACTTCTAACTTGGGCTCAGTAAAAATCTGAAGCAGTGATTCTTAGGTAAACTCATCAGTCATTTCATTATTTATATAATGATCAATATTTAGATAAGATATCCCGTTTTCATGCTCAGAAGATCCCTCTGTCAGTACGCAGCTCTTGGGTTGTTGGCCATGTTCTTCCCATTCCTACTGCCAAGACTTTTGGCATCTACAGGTGTCCTGACCAGACCTCTGGAAGAGAATATTATGACCTGGAAGGGAAAGTGCCCAGGGTTCATTGTTAGGAATGGACAAGGGAACACCCCTTCCTAGTCTCCAGTCTACAAAACCAGATGAAAGTGCTTCCCATACTCGAACCTAAGCTCCCCAGTTTCCAGCCTAGCTGTCTGTTAGGGCTCTTTCGCATGCAGAAGATGATGGACGTATCACTGAGCAGGCGTTAAAACCAGCTCCGTCCGGCTGTAAGTAGGAGAGCTCCTCTTTGTCTCTAGTAAAGATGGTGGAGGATTTGCAATGCTCCAAGAGGTCTGGGCTGCTTCTAGTTTTTGAGGTTTTCCTGTCTATTGAACAACGAAAATAATGCCAAATCAGGGCTGCAGACACCATCTAGCATTCTTCTTCAAGAAAGAAGAATGCCTGTACATTGGTAAGCACTAAAAATCAAATTTTCCTTTTTTTAGGAGTGATATCTTTATCTCAACAGGACTTCTGTCTTGAGCCCTTTGGACAGGGGGTGGGGGTTGGGGGCAGTGACTTCCTGACTGCAAGGAAATGTATCCTCAGCTACAGGGTTGGCACACAGGATGGACTTTGGTATTGGTAGCAAATACGGTGTTACCTGGAACAATACCTCTCAGCTGACCACAATAACACACACCTTGTAAAAACTTCACAAGTACACATGGGGGAGAACAGGAGATGTGTTTATACACATGTAGTAGTTTGGTCACTCAGTCATGTCTGACTCTGTGACTTCATGAACTGTAGCCTGCCAAGCTTCCACTGTTCATGGAATTCTCCAGGCGAGAATACTGGAGTGCGTGGCCATTTCTTTCTCCAGTTTATATATATACATACATACACCACATCCTGGCTGTCTTACTTACCCCACAATGGATTACATGTTTAATTTGACCCACCACTTAGCACAAGGATAAAAGATAATGGAAGCTGGCTTTTATTCCTTTAAAGAAGCTGTATAACTGGCACATTATCAACAAAAAAAGTCCAGGCCCTCACAAAGAAGAAATCTTCAACTCGAACAATAAATTACTCAACTGATTTTAGTTCATCCAACTCTTCGTTCTTCAATTCTTAGACCTTCTTGAGATCTGATTTCTGTATCATCCATCTACTTGAGAAATGTCTGGGGATGCCCCTTAGACATATTCACTGGATCTGAAGGGAATTTCTGGTGACGGCGGCGGGGTGGGGGTGGGGGTGGGGGCGCTTCCAGCATACAGATCTTATAAAAGTTTCTTTGGCAATTCTTATGTATCTTATACTTTGAGAACCACATTCGAGGAAAAGTTCTTAAATAGCTCTTATAAAAATTGTTTCCTGAATAAATTATACTTTAAATACCATAACCTGGCTTTTGGGGGGGGAAATAGTCATATAATTTATAAGATAAGCTTTTTTAGAAATTTTCTTCTGAGAAGCACTTTTTCTACTTTGGAGAATTTAAAAATCCATGTGAACTGTAGTAATTATGGCATAAGATTAGAGCAAAGAGTTTTTACCTCATAATCTACCATCTTTCACTTACATCAATTTAAATCCAAAAATGAAAAGGGAAATTAGAGTTATTCTTTTCAATCATTTAAAAATAAATAAATATTCTCCTAATATGAAAATGTCAATATAAAATTTACTGTCAACTAAAAGTTCTTCCTATTAAACATTTAAGAAAGCACTGTCTTTGATTTCTTGAAGAATCTTATTTTTAGCCCTTTTACTTGCCATCCCAAGTAAAACTTAATGCAACTAACTTACATAATAGCATGTGACCATATAGATTAGTGTAAAGGAAATATACTCCTATTCATAGACCAAAAAAAAGCACTAATTAGAAGAGCAAGGGTTCTTCTCACTCATAAGCCTCTAATTCAGGCTTTCACCATTCATTAGTCTTTAAAAAGAAAGGAGATGAAAGAGATGACTCTGAGGCTCACCTGTATGTGGATGAGGTACTCAGAACAGCGCTGTGCTTGACTTACTATCATGGTCTTCTGCAAGCACCTTTCATTATTTTCCTTAAATAACCCCCTGGACATCACTCTGGATGAAAACTGGTCTTCATCAATTGTGATGTTATACACAATGGCTATAATAAAAATCATAAAGAAATGTCATTACAAATACATTTTAAAGGAAAAAGCATTCCTGTTTTATCGTGTCTTACTGGGTTAAGTGTCTGACTACAAGAAAACAAAAGCCAGTCTTCCTTTTGATGGACTGTGAACCATGGCTAGCCTGTGATGTTTGTAACTACAGCTCTGGTATGATGTACGTTGACTGTGGATACAAAGAAATGTGATTCAAAGAAATGTGATCTGACCTAGTGGAAGGAAAAGTAGACTTGCCACTGGGAAATCTACTGAATGAAGTTGATCAAATTATTTCCTCAAATAACAATTTCATTGTCCATAACATGGTGACATGAAAAGGAAAGGAATTATAATTGAGGGCCTACAATTGAACACATTCGTATACGGTATGTAAGTTTTACAATAAACCTGGAACATGGATATTATTACCCTATTTTTCAGATAATTAACAAAATATTATTCTGTTTTTCAAAATAACTCACCTCAGCTCACACAGCTAGGGCATGGTCAGAAGTAAAGTTTGAGTAATTCTGAAACCAGACCCCATGTTCCTACTATTTCTATGCAGTTTAGAGGATTCACTGTTGTCTGAGGATTAAATCAGATACTCTAAGGTAAAATGTACAGTGCCTTGCATATTCCAAAAGCTTACTTGGGGGAAGTCATGTTACACTGCAATAACAAGTGTTGAATTGGACAGACTTGTTTTGAATCTTAATCTCATCATTGACAAGCTTTAGGCAATTTTCTTAATCTCCTAGAACCTCCATTTCTTCATCTATAAAACAGAGATAATAATACTAACATAGGGAAATGGAAATGAGAAACATATGTGATAAAAACTGATGTCAATAGCTAATGTCCAACTATCAGAACTTTCAATAAAATCTGTTGGCTACCCATCCAACACTGAGAAGATCTGATACTATTAGTAGCATCAACTGTATTACTTAGGATTGTTCTGTCTTATTATTTCCAAGAATTGATGTTTTTGAACTGTGGTATTGGAGAAGACTCTTGTGAGTCCCTTTGACTGCAAGGAGATCCAACCAGTCCATCCTAAAGGAAATGAGTCCTGAATATTCATTGGAAGGACTGATGCTGAAGCTGAAACTTAAATACTTTGGCCACCTGATGTGAAGAACTGACTCACTGGAAAAGACCTGATGCTGGGAAAGATTGAAGGCTGGAGGGGAAGGGAACGACAGAGGATGAGATGGTTGGATGGCATCACTGAGTCAATGGACATGAGTTTGAGTAAACTTCAGGAGTTGGTGATGAACAGGGAGGCCTGTCGTGCTGCAATCCATGGGGTCACAACAAATCAGACATGACTGAGTGACTGAACTGAATTACTTCCAGGAGTTTAAAGGTTAACTATACTTCCAAAAGCATTCTATATGTGACCTTTCAAATATCTGCTAGAAGTGATGTATAATTTTTCTTGCTCTGAATACTTCATGAGGTTAACAAAGATAAAATACAAAGGAATCAAGAACTACAAATAAGTAGTGAAAATAACACAAAGGAAAAGCAATGGCAGGGAAGTGATGGCAGCCAGGACAAAGTTAGTACATGTGGAATGACAATATTTCATTTTTTCCAAAATGATACATAGTTACATAGGCAATATGATAATCCTTTTTATGTCATTAGCTTCAAACTGGAGTGCGCATCTGAAGCAATAAATAATAGAAGTCATATGCTGTGTAAATTGACTTTTCAGAGTCACAGAGATGGGATTTCTCTCTTACACACTATTATTGCCAGGCAAGTAAGTGACGAATGGTCATGACCATGTGGACCTAAGGCATCAAGAAGAGGATTCAAAGGGAAAGGTACCCAATGGTGAGAGACCCTAGACAACAGGTGGGAGGGGATAAAATCCTCTGAAAGCAGAAAATGCCTTTCAAGTGCATGGCAACAGAAGAGGTGGAGTACAGTCAAAAATTGGGAGGAAGAAGCTTGAGACAAACCCATGCTTCAGGGCCAGCAGAGGTTACCTACCTGTCATTTCCACCAATGAATAGATTTTCCAAATTAACTTTTTATATTTAATGTCTTATTCCTCCAGCTTCATTAAGATATCATCGATATATAACATTGTGTAAGTTTAAAGCCTACAACATAGTGATTTTATACATTGCAAAACAATTACCAGAATAAGGTGAGTTAACATACCCATCACTTCACAAAGTTACAATTTCTTGTGTGTGGTGAGAACTTTTAAAATCTAGTCTCTTATAACTGCACACAATACAGCATTATTAACAAAAATCACCATGCTGTACATCCCATCTAGCCATTTCATGTTTAGACAGTAATGGTTTCCAACTCGACTTTCATGGCTACTCAGATGAATGTGCTAAAAGGCAGGTGTGTGAAAAGTGCTCCTCAGAGGCGGGTCAGTGTTTGAACACTTGAAAGGAAAAATGCCAGATGAATATGAAAAATCAGAAATATGGAAGGCGTGTCAAGACGTTAATACAACTTTGTGTTCCTAGCCTTCTTATTTCTTCTATAAATTGTGACAACTTGCCTCTATATTTTTACCCTTTAAGTTAATTTGTTCACCACCTAATAAAATAGCTGTAGTCAATCCTAACAGAAATCAACCCTGAATATTCACTAAAAGGACTGATGCTGAAGCTGAAACTCCAATACTTTAGCCACCTGAAGCAAAGAGTCGACTTAATAGGGAAGACTTTGATGCTGGGAAAGATTGAAGGCAGGAGGAGAAGGGGACAACAGAGGGCGAGATGGTTGGATGGTATCATCGACTCAATGGACATGAGTTTGAGCAAGCTCCGGGAGATGGTGAAGGACAGGGAGGCCTGGAGTGTTGCAGTCCATTGGGTTGCAAACACTCAGACACGATGAATGACTGAATAACAAGGAACTACAGGTTTCTGAAAATTAGAGCCAAAATCTGATGGAGAGGGTATGTATGCATAACTGAGTCACTTTGCTATACAACAGTAAGTAGCACAACACTGTAATTCAACTACACTTCAATTTTTAAAAATCTGATGAAAAGGATGAGGACCCACGAAACAGCAGCAAATGAAAGAAAGTAGTATTGGATTAAGTGCTAAAAATCAATGGTTACATATTGAAGGAACTGAGATAACTGGTGCAGGAGAGATGGAGGTGAGATGCAGTGGTTAGAAAGACTTCAGGGAATTGTAGGACTTCAGCCAGGATGCCAAAGACAACTGGACCAATCCAGAGAGAGTAAGACTGCCCACAGTCTTCCTTACTCTCAGACTTTCCCTCACTTCACTGGATTATTTGTTGTTATTGTTCAGTCACTAAGTCATGTCCAACTCTTTGCAACCTCATGGACTGTAGCACACCAGGTTTCTCTATCCTTCGCTATCTCCCTGAGATTGCTCAAACTCATGTCCATTGAGTTGGTGATGTCATCCAGCCATCTCATCCTCTACCGTCCCCTTCTCCTCCTGCTTTCACTCTTTCCCAGCATCAGGGTCTTTTCCAATGAGTCAGATCTTTGCATCAGGTGGCCAAAGTACTGGAGTTTCAGCTTCAGTATCAGTCCTTCCAATGAGTATTCAGGGTTTATTTCCTTTAGGATTCACTGGTTTCATCTCTTTGCTGTCTAAGGGACTCTCAAGAGTCTTCTTCAGCATCACAGTTCAAAAGCATCAATTCTTTGGTGCTCAGCCTTCATTATGGTCCAACTCTCAGATCTGTACATGACTACTGGAAAAACCACAGCTTTGACTATATGGATCTTTGTTGGCAAAGTGACATGTCTGCTTTTTAATATGCTGTCTAGGTTGCTCATAACTTTTCTTCCAAGGAGCAGGCATCTTTTAATTTCATGGCTATAGTCACCATCTACAGTGATTTTGGAGCCCAAGAAAATAAAATCTTCCACTGTTTCCACTGTTTCCCCATTTATTTGCCATGAAGTGATGGGACCAGATGCCATGATCTTCATTGTTTGAATGCTGAGTTTCAAGCCAACCTTTTCACTCTCCTCTTTCACATTCATCAAGAGGCTCTCTTTGTTTTCTGCCATTAAAGTGGTTTTATCTGCATATTTGAGGTTGTTGATATTTCTCCCGACAATCTTGATTCCAGCTTGTGATTCATCCAGCTTGGCCTTTCACATGATGTACTCTGCATAGAAGTTAAATAAGCAGGGTGACAATATACAGCCTTGACATACTCCTTTTCCAATTTTGAACCAGTGATTTGTTCCATGTAAGGTTCTAACTGTTGCTTCTTGACCTGCATACAGGTTTTGCAGGAGGCAGGTAAGGTGGTCTGGTATTCCCATCTTTTAAGAATGTTCCACAGTTTGTTGTAATCCACACAGTCAAAGGCTTCAGTGTAGTCAATGAAGCAGAAGTAGATGCTTTTCTGGAATTCCCTTGCTTTCTCTATGATCCAACGGATGTTGGCAATTTGACCTCTAGTTCTTCTGCCTTTTCTAAATCCAGCTTATACATCTGAAAGTTTCCGGTTCACATAATAGATTATTTAGAAAATATAAAACACTGGGCACAAATTATACATTGTTTTATACTTTCTCTCTATTATTTCATGCTTCTTAAATTTTCAAGAATAGAAATATTTTATCCTCATGCTGAACACACTCTATTATGGCATAGCCAACTCCCCATGGACTCATCTAATATGGACTCAAGTTCAATGTAATTTGCGTGTGCCCATGGTTTTCTGTTAGGAAGGTATGGATAAGAGAAACTTAAAGGATAGACTGAAAGAGGCCACAATTATGTCACTGATTTCATGACTTTCTGCAGCAGAATGTGACCTTCTAAGGATGACAGAGGAAGGTCTAAAACACCTTCCACACCTAAGTAACCATTCTCAGGCACCTCAAATATATGGCAATTCAAGTGTCTGCAAAACCCTTGTTTCTTTTGGTTTCCATATCCCAAGCATAGTTTAAATCAGGACTGAAACTCTATAAGCAAACCTATCTCTTGTGCAGATTATTTCATGTTTACTCACCCACTTGATTGTTTTGATTAGTAGGTCTAAACTTAGCACTGAAGCAGAGTTTAAGTTTTATCTCAGCATTTTTGTTGAGCAAAGTGATTTTTTTTGGTGTGAATGAAGCATCTACAGATACATCAGCAATGCTCTGTGACCTGAAAGACCAATGTTTAAAAAAAATTATTCTCAGGAAGCTACCCAGAAAAACTAGTCTTAGCACCTTGTAGGAATGTGACCACAAAACAGCATTAACCTAGCTTAACTGCTCCCCTCAAAAAATGGGTTTGACTCCTTGTGTCTTGACTTTTTAGATGAATCAAACTCACCTTCAAAGAAAAGAGTTTGGCCATCATGGGCTATCTTAAAAGGGAATGTCACAGTATAGGAAGTATATGGCCTACCATACATGAGGTCTACCAAGGTGGCCACAGGGTGAAGCTCACTGAAAGGTATGATTTCTTACAAAACTGTTTCCAAAGCAGCCATATAATTATGTCATCACACCTTGTATTTTTCTAATGCTACTCTTAACTGATTTTATTTAGCAAATATATTTTCTTTTTTTCAAAGCCTTAAATATTACATTTGAGTTTTATTTCTTCCACATGAAGATTTCATTAAAATGATGCACTAAGGCAGTGGTCCCCAACTTTTTTTGGCAGCAGGAACTGGTTTCGGGGAAAACAATTTTTTCACGGACTGCAGAGGGGACGGAGATGGTTCACACCAGTAACGGAGCGGCAGATGCAGCCTCATCTGCTCACCTCCTGCTGTGTGGCCTGGTTTCTGACATGGACTAGTGGCTGGGGACCTCCGCACTAAGGGACTCCTCTGGTGGTCCAGTGGTTAAGGCTCCGTGCTTCCACTTCAAGGGGCACAGGTTCAATCCCTGGTGGAGAAACTAACAACCTGCCTGTCGTGCGCTGAAAGAAAAATGATGCACGAAAAACAATGCCTTTCATCCTTTAAAAGCACAAGTGAGATATTGTAAGTAGTTTCATTGAATTCAGAGTGTGATTTACTCAATACCCAATTTCTTTCTGTTTTTCACATACTTGGACATTTAAAGCATATTTTTTAACAGACATGAATGGATAACTGAACTATATTTTCTTGGAGACTCCTGACAGAATTCTGTTTCTTTCTGGTTCCATTCCTTCACCAGCCCAATATATTTATTTTTACCCTTACTCACTTGGCTCTTGAATCCCTATTGTTCCCCCCTGCTCTTCAACTCCTCCTGAGGTCAATGAGAGGTCAGCTAAACCTAAATAATGGCTTCTTGTTTATGACTAGTAATTGTAAAAGATACCTTTTAACCACAGGAGAAGTTGTACTTCACTTGTGTGGCCTTGGTATTCAGTATTTTTAGAGCATTCTCATGAGAATTCTTTTCTACAAGTTGAGGTAATAAAAAGATAATAATCAGAAATATCCTTAATACCATTTCAAGAGCTTTATCTTTTCAATACACTTTTTCTGTTCATTTTAAAGAGGAGAGAGACTTGGTTCTAATGTTAAGCAAGTATTTTTTTTTTTCTACCAGGAAAAACATACTCCTTCCTCTATGCAAACTATGACATACAAATGTCTTAGAGTGTTATATAATGCCTGTGACATTTTCACAATACTAGCAAAGCAATCTGCTCTACTTAGCAGGCCATGTGTTCATTAACTAGTTTGTGTCTGGCTCTCAATGACTCACCAGAGCTGAACGACCTGTCCAAAGGCCCCCACGGACACATCGGTGATGGAATCCCCATTTAAATCTCCATAGCCATCCAGGGATCTCCCAAAGTACTGGAGGTGGCTACTAAAGGCTCTGTCGGACCCTAAGATTTTCTAAAAGAGCAAGTTTGAGATGAAATTATAGCTCGTGACAACTGAAACAGAAAAAAGCATCTACATTGCCCTGGTATATCCTTTCTATGGCCATTTCTCAGACTGTTTTATTCTCCACAGAACTCCATTGATTTTTCATAGCTCATCTGATCTGATTATTATTCTTGCAACCACGTTTTCATCAAAGAAAACAGCATGAATCTCTCACATAAAATAACAAGCCAGCACAAAGCAATGAGAGATCAGCAAACTGGAGAAGGAACTGATGCAGGTTTGGGTCCTGATTCCTCTCCTAGCTCATTTCCTTCAGATCTTTACTCAAAAGCTGCTTCTGAGTGAGGCTTTCTTGGTCACTCACTCAAATACTTGATACCTCCTAGCCCTGAAAATTTATTCCGTATTTTAGTTTTTTAAAAATTCCTTATCATTTACTACTCTCTGGAATACTTTTCTTACTTATCTTCTTTCCCTCTGTCTCCTTCACAAGAATGAAAGATCCATACAAAGCACAATTTTGACCATCCTGTTCTTTACAGTATTCCCAGAGTCTAGACAGAGCTTGACACACAGTAGGGGTTCACTAAGTATCTGATGAATAAGTGAATTAGGTTATAAAGTAAGACGGATGGATTGGATGGTCCACACAATACTCTTTAGCTCTAACACAATGTAACTCATTCACGTGTAAACAAACTACCATAAAACTATGGATTACCTGAGAATACCTCAAGCGAATCATGCCCTCATGACCGTTGTAGATGTACACAGCTCCAGAGTTCTGATTTTCCAAAGGTGAGCCAACAATCACGTCATTAAAGCCATCCATGTTGATGTCTGAAAGAGCTGCAATTGCTGAACCAAATCGAGCATTTTCAAGACCCTTGGGGCCTTCCAGAAATTGGTGCCAATTCAAAATGCCCTTGCAGAGAGGGAAAAAGGGGACAATTAAAGCCAACCTTACATTAATAAAGATATACAACTATATATTTATAGTAGTATAAATATAGGTATAAAATAGATAACCAAGGATGTATTGTATGGCACAAGGAATTATATTCAATAGTTTTAGTTACCTAAAAAGGAAAAGAATCTGAAAAAGAATCTATCTATATACCTACCTATGTACAAATAAATCACTGTGCCATACTGAAAATAAGGTCATAGGCTATCTGCTCATAAACCAAGGTGAAAAGAAGCAATTCTTTTATGTAGGCTGGCTGCACAACCTACATAAGAGTGTCCATTTCTTTGTTTTTTCCCCTTAGTATTAGGATCTTCACTCATCTGTTTTCAAATTTTTTTTATTTAAAAAATTTCTGGTAAAAATCTACTAAACTCTACAATAAAATTAAGGTAGAAACAAATAAAACACAATATCTTAGTGTAGTCTTTTACTTAAAAGCTATTGAACAACAGAGGCATAATTATAATGGTATAGGAAGTGAAAGATGAGATTGTTAATATTCCATTATATAAAACACTGAATATTTCTGCCAAAGAAAAGACATTTTCCTGTAAAAGATACAATTGTGGGCTCTTTTTTTTTGTTGCAGATTTTGAAATCAAGAATGGAACTATTTCATGACTTCATAAGAAAGCAATGCTCTTCAACCATGAAACTGAGTCTGTTTTGATTCTTTCTCTTCTATAATAATCTTACAGAAATTAATTTATTACTGAGTCTGGTAAAATACTGGAAGATCATTTCACCTTTAGCAATTAATAATATTCAGAATATCTGACTAGCAAGAAACATTTAAGAAGTTGGGGATTTGTTAAATTTTCAAACTAGTAGATATGCTCTTCCCTTATTAAATACTTAATTACACTTTCTTTATGTGCTTTAAAATTGTTTTAATTGCTTCTGTTTAAGGGCTAAGTGTTATTTTTTGTTGTTGTTTGTTATTTTTTGTTGTTATATTAATTTAAATAAATAAGGCAGGACAAAATATTGCAACAGTTAAATATAACATTTACTACATTAATATCAGCTTCTCTTTTTCCATCCTTTCCTTATCTAGCCATCTAACCTTCTATGTCAATCTGTGCCTTTAATTTTAGTTTTCTTTTCAGGTTTCACTAAGCTAACTATAATTGTGTGCGTGGATTTAGAGATTTAAGTCTGTAAGTTGGAAAAACTAGGCTTTTCCATGTTAGAGTATGCTCAGTTCTATCTGCAAGAACTGGAATTCCCAAGATTTGGATATATACATAAATGTTACACCAAGCAATGGAATTTTCTGACAAACTAATGTAGAAATTGTACAGGATTATATGGCTATTTCTAAAGTGCCTGGTACAATTTGTCCTTACCATTGTAAAATGTCAACAAAGCAGCTTTGCCTTGCTATTGTTATATCTTTATAGTAAAGAAGAATAACTGAATGAGATATTTGGGAAATACACAGATGTATATGCATGTGTGTATGTATTTCAAAAAACAACATGCATTTATAATAACTTTATTTGTAAAGAAAATATGTATTCAAAGACCTCCTGTGGAAGATGGCAGGACATTATATATTAAGGTCTAGGTTATGCTTTTCAATGTGATTTTTAAAACTGTAACTTAATGGTGACATCCATAAGCCATACTTTTATTCAATAATAAACATTCTTTAATCTGTAAAAATGAAGATTCACTTTTATTTATCAATACTAAAGCAAATCAAAGGAAATCAGTTTAATAATTTTTTTTTTACCTTTGTGATAGTAAACAGGTAGACTCTTCCTTCCTCTTTCTTCAGGTCATTCATGTACATTGGCGCACCTACCAAGAGCACATCTGTAACGGTGTCCTTATTCACATCAACTGCACACAGCACACTACCGAAATAGGAGCCAATCTGGAGGAATAAAGCATATCAACACTAGGATTCTTCTACTCTTAGTATTATACTAAACTTTTATTTACTCATTTAACAAACAAAAATTGAGCATCTATTGCCTGTAAGGTGCCAGGAACATAAAGATAGATAACATCACCCCTTCTTTCTGTTTGTGTCACAATCTAACACTTGCTTCTTAGCACTTAGGGTGCACAAAAATCACCAAAAAAAGCACCTGTAAAATACAGATTCCCAAGAGCCATTTCCAGAGATTCTGATGCAATGTCTATTGGGCAATCAAGAAAACAGTATTTTAAGTAAGCACTCCAGGTATTTCTTATGCTGGTGGGTAAAAGACCACACTTAAGGGACACTTAGAAGCTTTATGAGATGTTGTAGACAAAGGCAGGCAGGGAAGAGGGAGGTTGAACAAATAACAGGACTTCTGTGATAAAACATAATAGAAAGTGAAAGTGAAAGTGTTAGTCACTCAGTTGTGTCCAACCCCATGGACTGCAGCCTATCAGACTCCTCTGTCCATGGGATTCTCCAGGCAAAAATACTGGAGTGGGTTGCCATTCCCTTCTCCAGGGGATTTTCCTGACCCAAAGATAGAACCCAGTCTCCCACATTGCAGGAGGATTCTTTACCATCTGAGCCACCAGGGAAGACCATAAACTTTAAAATACTAAAGAGGAGGAAAATGTTTGACCACAGTGGATTTGTGGTCAAGGAAGTCAAAGACTCAGATCTTCTTCCTCCAGGAAAATCCATATAGACAGTGAATCAGATTTAATCCCAGAGAAGGGAAATCTATAGATAATCAGTTTCTCTGATTTAAGGAAGAAAATTTTCTGTTAGTTGTTGGAGTACAGTGATGTGCATTTCAAATATGTGCTAAGTTCAGGAGTCAAAACTACTTAGCAAGAAAATAGGATTCTATAGGCTGGCTTTTGTTCTCGTGGACCATGACTGGGAGGCATCACCAGTCCTCACTACCAAACTGCCACACATCAGAAGAAAGTGACATAGAAGAGAGCTGCTTTACTTTTAGAAATGTCCAACTTTTTGACATTTAGAAATGTCAGAGCCACGGGATACCTTTACAGGCCCAGATGTCCTAGCTCAAGAAATGTCAGAGCCACGGGATACCTTTACAGGCCCAGATGTCCTAGCTCAGTCTAATGGGATACTGCTCCCTTTGTCTACTCGTTCCTTCTCCAGATCCTCGGTTCCTGTTGGAGCTTGCCTACAAAGCAGTGGTTAGGTGTCTGTCATCACTGGGCTTTAATGACAACTCAACCCCATGAAAGCTATGTAGCCTTAGGTAGTTACTCTCAGCAGTTAGTCAACAGGGGATGGTACATCTCAGTATTGTTGTGAATATTTGAGGAATATTCAAGTAAACACAAACCACAGAGGCAGCTACAGGGTGGGCACTCAATAAATGTTAATTTCCATTTCTACTGACTCCTCCCTTCCCACAAGCCCCGGTTGTCCATGAAATTAATTTCACCTGCTTAAACAACGGAATTTACCTGGTCACCTCTGTGAGATTGAATAACTGTGACATTGCCATTCTCATTAACTCTGTATAGCACTATCTGGCCCGTATAATTTGCTCGAGGAGCACCAGCAACAAAGTGGACACTGTTCCCAGTAGAAATTGAAGCCACAGAGTAACCTAGGAGAGAAGGGGTTACAGAGTAGGTACTGTTGAATATCTTGGCCAGATAAGCTTGTGAAGCTAGCAGAGATGATCAGAGGTCCCTTTTGTTGGTGTGACGCAAAGCTACTCATGCTCCTGAGTATAACATGAAGGTCACATCCTCTTCCTTTTTCCAAAATGAACTGCTTGTGCACTTTGGCTGGAAACTCTGACTGTGGAGGTGGAACATGTCCCCATAAAGCTGACCCTAGATTCTGCATTGTCCTCACCAGCTCCTTATGAACCTGACACTCAACAAATATTTGAGAATGAATAACTAAATGAATTTAAAAGGTGGAAATTTGCACAGTGGGAAGAACATAGGCTTTAGAGTCAGTCTCCGGTTCAAAGTTTGGACTTGCCACTTGTTAAGTTTTTTGTCTTTGAGCAAGTAATTAACCTCTTTGGAAAGGTAAAATGAGGATAGTAGTACTCCCTTCAAAGGATAGTTGGAAGTATTTAAATATTATGTAGATAGAATAGCCAACTCAGGGACTGCCCCATAGTAGGTGCTCAAAATTGGTGACTACCTATTACATGAACAAAAACACTGGAGACTCCAAATTGATGTAAGACTACCACTTACGGTTTTGACTTTTACATACTATTTCTATTTTGGAGAAACACAGTCATGTCCCAGGATTAACAACTGCCGGAACAATCAGAAGAGATTAGCGAGTCTAACATGCAGTGTTTCGTTAAGTAGTTATGGGCTAAGGCCTGACTGGCAAAGAGGCAGCTGAAATATGTGTAATTAGATGACAGCTCAAGTGCTTTGCTGAACTGATCCTGAAATCCAACAAGAGACCAGTTTAAAGGAAGCAACTTAAATGTGCTGAGCCAAGTGCTGGTAGGTCTTACCTAAATATGAACTGTGATTTCTGTCTTGCAGAATTTGTTCAAACGCTTGTTTAGAAAAGATCAGATGTCCATGAGGTGTCTTCTGGACCACAGTCCCACTCCAGTCGTAAGCTCCTACTGCACCCAGCATCAGAATATTCTGTAATAATTGAAAAATGAGAAGCCTTAAACCACCTGTAAGGCATAAGAGTGTCGGGTGGGCAAAACATCGAAACAAATGGTCTAAATTTAAAGGAGAAAAAAAAAAAAAAACTAAGCATGATGAAGCAAAATATACATGAATTGCTTAGAAAAGAGAGACAACAGGTCAAAAATGGAATCACCTGTGCCAAGTCTACATCATCAAACCCAGACCATACCTAACCTAACTGCAACTTCAACCTCTCCCAGGAAGGTCATCTTAAATGTCACTTTGGAATTCCCTGGTCAGCACTAGTGAGATAATCACCTGAGAGACCCCTTCTGTCCCCTATGTGAAGGTGACTGTGCCTGAAACAGTCTGACCATTTCCCCTTCTGCCATAAAAGCCTTCCATTTTCTTCAGCCCCTTAGAGCATCTTTCTGTTTGCTTAATGAAATGCTGCCCAATTCATGAATCATGGTGGTGGTTTAGTCGCTAAGTCATGTACGTCTCTTACAACCCCATGGACTGTAGACTGCCAGGCTCCTTTGTCCATGGGATTTTCCAGGCAAGAATACTGGAGTGGGTTGCCATTTCTTTCTCTAGGGGATCTTCCTGACCCAGGGATCAAACCTAGGTCTCCAGCATTGCAGGCAGATTCTTTACCAACTGAGTTATGAGAGAATCCCATGAATCATTGAATAAAGCCAATTAGATCTACAGATTCACTCCGCTGAATTTTAGTTTTTTAACAGATTGTATGTTGATATATCTCCAAATTGTTTTGATACATTTTGTGCTGGAAAAGAAGCCTTCCCATGGGCTATGTTACTTTGGGCTTTGCTTAGTACAACACATTTTAAAGATAAATCTGTACTACAGTACAGGAGGGGCGCAAAGCCATCTTCCAATTTCCATGCAAAGGCGCACATCTGCAAATGCTGAACAGTTGTAAGCCTTTAGAAAGGAGTCCAGAAGGGAGCCTCTGGCCTAACGTGTTCCTAAGAAGAGCTCGGGCTATGAGACACGCTCAAGAAACAGGAAGTGCTGCTGCCAGAGGAAGAGAGGTGGGCACTGTTCCCCCAGACCCATGTGGTGGCCCTCTTCTGACCTGATTTATCTTCAACTTCCTTCCTCTTTCTCCTTTTAAACACTTAATTTATTTTTTGGCGGTGCTGGGTCTGCATTGCGGTATGTGGTTCTCGCTAGTTGTGGTGCACAGGCTTAGCTTCCCTGTGGCATGTGTGGTCTAAGTTCCTCAACCAGGGATTGAACCCACATCCCCTGCACTGGAAGGCAAATTCTTAACCACTGGACCACCAGAGAAGTCCCTTCCCTCTTTCTTCTTAACTCCTTCTCAAACATTCCTCTCTCTCCTATCCCATCTATTTGTGAATGGCACAGCTACAGAAAGCAATTGAAGATATGATATTTCATCTATGGGAAGAAAAACAGCCATTGGTCAGCACCAGTGGGGAGGCCCAGAGAGGACAGGCCACTCGGGATTGGCTCAAAATCCAATCTGAATATTCAAAGCTATAAGTCATTGCAGGAAGCAGATGGTCAGGATGGGACTTGTTCTTAAATTTTTTAAAAAATTAATTAATCAACTGATTAACTAATTAGTTAATTATTTTATTTATTTTGGCTGTGTTAGGTCGAGTTGTGGCTAGATCTTTGGCTGCTGCACGCAGACTCTCTAGCTGTGGCATTCGGGCTCTCTAGTTGTGGTGGGTGGGCTTAGCTGCTCTAGGACAAGTGAGATCTTAGTTCCCTAATCAGGGATTGAACTCATGTCCTCTGCATTGCAAGGAGTATTCTTAACCACTGGACCACCAGGGAAGTCCTTATTTACAAGTTTTTGATCTTAGAAAATATCAGAGATGCAACTTTGGGGTTTTGCTGTTATTGTTTAAAATGTATTTTCTTGAAGTCTAGTTGACTTACAACATCATATTAATTTCTGCTGTACGGCAAAGTGATCCCATTATATAGACATTATTTTCCACATTCTTCTCCATTATGGTTTTCAAGGTATAATTTTGGAATGAAAAATACAAAGCCATTAAAAAAAATAGGGAATTAAATGTGTCCCATTCTGAAGACAAGAGACCATGAAATTATGTGAATGATTGTCATAAATCCTGGACTCTGAAATCTGGGTGCAGGAAGGGGCTTCAGGGACTATACAAAATTTCAGGAAATTGTGTGAAAAATTCTTTGTGTGGGTTCACTGACATTTTTTCTGAGGGAAAGACCATAACTTTTAGGAGCATCTCTTAACGATTGGTGATCCAGAAAATGTTAGCACCTTTTATTCTACAAAAAAACAAACAAACAAAAAAACTGACCCTGGGCCTTTATTCAGCCAGTCAAATCCTGTTCCCTGAGTATTTCCCAGGGTTACCTGTCTCTTTGCCTCTTTTACTTTTACTACTGTTGCACTCATATCCTGAGTAGGATTAGAATCAGAGACCTGTGAGACGGATGTCTCTGAGAAAGAATGGACTTCCCTGAGCTAAGATGTCCCATCTCACTCTTTCCCTAACTCCTGACTTTTTCAACATTTTTCTGTCTCTGCTGTTAAAAAACAGATATTCAAATAACTCAGAATTCAACCATGACAGTGATGATAAGAGTTTGTGTTTTATTTTTTTTTTTTAAGAGTTTGTGTTTTAAACAAACTTTTCCAGCAGTTGATGATATAAAGAAAATTCCTACAGTAATAATACCTTGAGTTAATATACTGCCTGTCCCCTGGAGCATTCAAAGGCTTTCTTGTATATTATCATTTTTTTCCATTAATAAAAATCCCTGTAAAATAGGGTAGGGAAGGCATTATTAACCTCTGTTTTTTAGATGATAAGCCAGCAACACAAAGAATCTAAACGACTGTGACTAGGAGTGAGAACTGCTGATCACTAGATGGCTGTTCTTCCCATTTCAGGACAAGGCTACTGGGTCCAGAAGTGTCAAGGCAAATGACAGCATGCCTGGAAGTTATATGATATACACACATTTTTAGGGGAGTATTCCGCGCTGAATCCCACTTGTGACATTTCCATTTGGAAGTTGTCTCCTCCTTGAACTGTACCTGGGAAATAGCAGTTTCAAAAGTTATATCACTACCGATTTTAAATCAAAATTTCAAACACGGGTGCCTACACACACACACACACACACACGCATGGTTCTGATGTCCACTCAAAAGTACAGAGCTGCCAGATTCTGGGAGGGAGGAATCTCTAGTGAAGTGTTCTAACACATGCAGAAACCCATGATGCTTCCCAGGTAGTATCTGAAGTTGGCATTAATCTTGATTGTGGGTTAATGTATTTATTGGTATACTATGAAATTCCTGACATCAAGAAACACTCAACATAGGGGATGAGGTAAGATGAAAATTGACATGATTATCTTTTCTTTTTGAAAATGATTGTTACTTGCTAAAGACCTAACTGAATTTTTAGCTTTTAAATGTTGGTACTAATAAATGCACATATATCTCAGATATAGTTAGAGGAGCCAAGCAATTGATCTGTGGTGAAGACTGTGTTGAGAGATATTTGGATTCGGCTTCAGGAACCAGGATTCAAGATTTGAGTAGGAATGTTACCAATTTGGAGGTTGGTCCAAGTTCTGCATATGTGCTTACCTCTGACACTAGCACCCTAAGACTCATTTAGAACTCTTTTTCCATATAGTGCAGCCAAAGTGGTTACATTTCACTAATCTTCACAAAAAGGAAAGTTTGTGGACTGTCACATTAATGTAGAGAAGAATAAAAATGTTTGAATAGATGCTTCCCATGGATAATCAGGAGATAAAGATTTGACTATAGAGATTAATACTTAATCTATCAGGAGATAAAGATTTGACTAAAAGGATTAATAATTAATCTATGCAATCCCTTTGATCATAGCAGATGCTCAATAAAATATTCACTTCATTGCTGAGAGTTATTTGGGTTAACCATCAGGAACTACGATTTGCATCACTTAGGACTTTTTACCAACTGGGAATTGTTTTCTAGTCCTCCTTAAAGTGAGGTCTTAAACAATATATTTCTACAGTGACTAGACCTCACCAGCCACAGAAGTAAATTATTATATATCTGGTAAATGTTTCCTCAAAATCTGAACTATTAAAAATCTTCACTGTATTTTCTAACCTAAAAAGTATACATACTTACTACAAACAAATTTAAGAATTTCAGTGTAAATTATGGAAGCAGTATAAAAAGATAAAACTATTTATGATTATAATAGATGGTACTACATTGCTGCTCCCAAAGATTATACAATTTATAATCTTATCAATAGTATATGAGCTTCTGTGCTTATCCATAATCTCCCCAAGATTAAACATTACTAATCTTTGTTGTCTTTTAGGCACAAAAAAACATTGACTTAATTTAAAGTTTAAAATAATTAAAAATTGGGAACATTTTCCTTTGTTTATTGACATTTGTATGAGGTTTCCCTGGTGGCTCAGATGGTAAAGCATCTGCCTGGATGCTTTACCTGCGGGAGACCCAGATTCGACCCCTGGGTTGGGAAGATCCCCTGAAGAAGGAAATGGCAACCCACTCCAGTACTCTTGCCTGGAAGGCTACAGTCCATGGGGTTGCAAAGAGTCGGACACGACTGAGCAGCTTTACTTTACTTACTTTACTTTATAAGCTATGTATTCATCATTCTTTACTTTTCTTATTGATGCTATTTATGAGTTCTCTTTGTATAAGGTATATGTGAAGTGAAAGTTGCTCAGTTGTGTCCGACTCTTTGCGACCCCATGGACTATACAGTCCATGGAATTCTCCAGGCCAGAATACTGGAGTGAGTAGCCTTTCCCTTCTCCAGGGGATCTTCCCAACCAAGGGATGGAACCCAGGTCTCTCCTATTGCAGGCGGATTCTTTACCAGCTGAGCCACAAGGGAAGCCAATTAATTAAAAGAGCACGTGGTAATAAAGAATTTTTTAAGGTTTTTAAAGAACATTTTACTTTATTTTTTAAATTTTTATTGGAGTATAGTTGATTGTAATGTCATGTTAGTTTCTGCTATACAGTGAAGTGATTTAGTTATACAGATATGTACTCTTCTTTAGATTCTTTTCCCATATAGGCTATTACAGAGTATTGAATAGAGTTCCCTGTGCTCTACAGTAGGCCTTTATTGTCTATTTTATAGACAGTAGTGTGTATATGTTAGTTCTGATCCCCCAATTTATCCCTTCTGTTCCCCTTATATGCTGGTAACCGTAAGTTTGTATCCTTGAAAAAAGTTTTTGAAAGAAAATTCTGAGAAGGAGTTCTTTTACCTTCAATGCTGAAAATTTGTTCTCCTATTGTCCCAGCCTTTTCTAGTAGATCAGCTTCATCAGAGACATTGAAAAAGTGTCTTTCTGTTGGAATACTGGCAATTGCTTTAATTTCTTTTATTAAATTTTTAGTATCCAGGGCGTTTCTGTTTAAGTACCCAAGAACCTTGAAAACAGAGGAAGAGAGGAGACGGCCATCAGTGCTGTACTTTAATTTTCCTGTTAATATTTTCTAGACTTTTTTTTTTTAACACAATAGGCCTTTTGGAGAAGTAAAACAAGCAACACTTCCATATCGGTTGGCAGGACTCAGAGTCAGCAAGATGCTTAGGTAGAGTAAAAATATTCTTTTATATGAAGCTATGAACAGGCAATTAGAAAGTATAGTCTTAAAGGAATATTTCCCTATGAACTGAAAGACCAGTAAAAAGAAAAGCCACTTACTGCTATGCCAAACCTCAGTATATTGTCTTTGTTACATTGATCAATCACAGCTTTCAACTTTGAACCATCATGGGATTCACCATCAGTTACAACCACCATAACTTTGGTAGCACCTGGTCGTCCACCAGCAGCCGTTGAATAAGCGGTATCTCTGTGGCAGATAAAACAAAAACTCACTATTGATGGATAAAGTTAATACATGGACCTCTGGTTAGAAAAGTTACTATGAAACTGACTTCTTTGAATATAACCTATTGCGACTTAGAATTGATCTATCAGTTCTGGTGACATCTTAACTATATTATATTTGTAGTTTGTAGAAACACATACAAGAATGTAAATCTCACTTGGCATTAAAAATAGCTCCCATGGTTTTCATAGTGTGTGGGTATGTATATTCACATCAGGAATCCTTAGAATTATCCTCTGCTAAGAAAATTAAACTTATTAAAACTAATCAAGAGCAAAGATAATCAATTTTTGTCATAAATTTTACTCATTGGATCTGCATTTTTCCAATAACAAATTGCATTTTTAAAAGTAATAAATATATGTGGTAAAAGAAATCTAAAGCATTTGGAAAGCTATAAAACAAAAATTTTACATCAAGCCACTATTTCAAAGGTAATCACTATTATCAGTTTGTTTCCTTCTAGAAAATGTTGTATATAGAGCATATATGCAAAATTCACTCCTTAAACTTTTATATGGGGACATATTCTATACAGTGGTTTTTCATTTTGATGGAGATCAGCACATATAGAACTCTCCTTTTTGTGTTTCATTGATTTCTAAATTTTCATTTTAAAAATGCTCATTTTATACAATTTTAGAGATAAGTTTCCATTTACAGTTATTATAAAATATTGACTGTATTCTCCTTGTTGTATTACATCCTTGAGCCTGTGTTATACCCAATAATTTGTGCCTCCCACGTCCCCACCTTTATATTGCACCCCACCACTCCACTGGTAATCACTAGTTTAGAACTCTCCTTTTTAATGGCTATGTAATATTTCATTGCTTTGAGGAACCATAGTTTATTTAATCAACTCCCCATTATTATGCATTTAGGCCATTTTTGGTTTTACAAATAATGCTATAATGAATGTCCTTGTGTATATATCTTGGCATACTTTTTCAAATGCATCAGTAGGATAAAATCTTGGCACTGAAATTATTTGGACAAAGGATTTACACATTTCAAATTTTGATAAATATAGTACTAAATTGTTCTTCAAACTTCTTCCAACTTATACTGCCATCAGTGTACAAGAATGTAATTTTCCCCATCTCCTTTCCCTAACAATGAGGACAATTAACTTTTAATCTGGGATACTCTTATAAGTGAGAAATAATATATTATTGTTGTTTTATTATGTACTTTTTAACTATGACAAATGACAAGTATTTTTATGTTTATTAGCCATTTATATTTCTTTTTTCATGAACTCTTGATTTTTCTTTAGATTTGCTCATTTTTGTTTTTCATCATTTTCCTGATCAGTAAAATTTCTGTTTATAAAGAAAATTACCCTTTGTCATATATGTTGTAAATAACTTTTTCAGCTCATTAATCATTTTTAAAATTTTAGTGATATTAATACTGTGCAGAAATTTTATATTTTTGTATAATCAAATCCATTACTTTTTGTGTCTGTGTCTTTCATATTTGACATGTGATTTTAAAAGGGCCTTATCTATAAGACTTTTATCTTTTATCAGCCAAGTTTTCTCATAGTCCTTTAGTTGTTTCATTTTCTTAGATTTAAACTGGTGATCAGTTGAAATTTGTTTTGATTCAACGAGCAGGGATTCAGCTTCTGGTTAACCAGGTGTCCAATAATTTTTTTCCTGTCTATTCGATTGTCTTGTTGCACATTCTTTCTGGTGTCATCATATAGGTTTACCACCACCACTTACATGATGAGAATTTAAGGTCTATATTTGCTTCCATTCATCCCTCCCATCTTCAAGTTTGTGTATTCAATGCACTGAATATTTTCACCTGAAAGTGTATGGAGTTCTTTAATTCAACTTGTTTAAAACTGAGAATATCAGTTTATTTCCTAAAGCTTTTCTGTATTCTATATGGCAGAATATAGAAATATTGAAAAATAGTTTCTATTTCTCAACCAAATTTGAATTCTTATACTCACATCAAATAATTTTTTAAGTGAATTATACTCTTTATGACACATATTAGAGCTCATGTCTGATTATAAGTTGGCCGAGGGTAGAAACTATGCCTCATTTAGTTTTGATGACCTGTGTGTGTTAAGTTGCTTTAGCCAAGTCCGACTCTTTGCGACCCTATGGAATGTAGCCTGTCCATGGGCTCCTCTGTCCATGGGATTCTCTAGGCAAGAAAACTGGAGTGGGTTGCCATTCCCTTCTCCAGAGGCTCTTCCCGACCCAGGGATTGAACCCAAGTCTCTTATATCTCCTGCATGGGCAGGTAGGTTCTTTGCCACTAGCGTCACCTGGGAAGCTCATGATTATCTGCAGGGCTTGGAACAATAAATTGTAACTTTAGGCACCAAATCAAATTAGATCAATAGAAAATGTAAACATTTACTGAAGGAGTATCAGAATTCTATTTGGTGTTGTAAAGAAACAGATCAAGAATGAGGAGAAAGAAGAAGAAAGAGAAAAAGAATTAGATGTAATTAAATTCTGGAATGAATGAGTAAAAAGTTACGTGGTTCTCCTCACAGTGGAAAGACTCCTGTTAGCTTGGAAAATAATGGTGAGGGAGGGATGACAGGGAGAAAAACAAAGTTTTGAAAAGACCATAAAAGCCGTATGAGTCCCATTTTCTCAGAAAGTTTCTATTCTCCCTAAGAAGGAAGCTTGCCAGGCCCCTAGGCTCTTTCCAGGGAAAAATGCCACACCCACATTCCTTTCTAAAAATAAAGGCTCTTTACTGTTTCTAACTCCTAGGAGGCCATTTTTCTACTGTCATCTTAGTCCTCCCCTCAACCTGCTTTACTGAACCAAGAAGGGTACTTAGCATAATAGCTACGGCCAGCAGCCGATGAGGTAGCTGGACTCCAAAGCACAGCTTAATGGGGACACACAAAAAATTAGCCAAACCAATCATATCTTCTCTTGTAGGGAATCTACTCTTAAGACATATGGGGAGAGTCAGCAGTTGACAGAAGCAGCAACTAGAACACAGAATGTCCTGAAAAAAGAAAGGACAGGTATTACAGGAAATTCAGAAATAGAAAGGGCAAGATGTGGTGACTGGCCAGATATGTGACCTAAAGAGGAGTAGAAAGAATAAAAAAAACTATTAAGTTTACAGTCTGAATAACAAGGGGAAAAGGCGGACAATGAATCAAAATGGCAGAGTCACGAGGAGGGGGAAGGGAAAAGCACAGGGCCAGTTTAGGATGTACTCAGTCGGACAAGTGAGCCAGCACTTCAAATCAGCATCAGCTGGACACCCGTGTGAATTCCGAGAGAGGTCAGGGCTGACGACATAGCTGTGGGGTAAGCCAGGCAGGGCTGATGGCTCACGTAACCTGAGAGTGGATACAACACCTAAGAAAAAAAGGGTTATGAAAGAAGGACTCTGTTTAATGAAGAAAAACTAGAAAAGAAGCCAGTGAAGAGGCAAACTTGATGACAAAAGTTGCCAGGTTTTCTGGAAGTGTGTGGTGTCAAGGCACCTGGGGTAGAAACAGCACTGCGTGCTCATTATTGTCAAATGATAAGGGAAGCTAAAGAGGATGAGGCTTGAGGCAAAACCACATTTACAGGGTGGCAGAGTCATATGTTTCAAGGATATGAAGGAAGGAACATAGATTCTTCTTTTAAGGGATTATGGCAGTGGAAGGAAGGCACAACCAGATGGCAAAGGGCAAAAAGTAGGTTTAAAGGAAGATGAACTTACTGTTCTCATTTATATTTTTTAAACAATATGAGAATGTTTAGCACCTTTTTGGTAAAGGTATCTGATCAAATCAGAGTGAAGATGAAGGTCAGCAGTGCTAAGAAAATAGAGACACTGAGCTAAGAATTAGGAGTGTTATATAGTTATGAAATTACCCCAGACAGTAGTTAGCAGAATGAGTCCTTCAATTCAGACTCCTATGTCATTAACACTTAAGATTCTATGGCCCTTCTTAATTTGGTTGAAGTGTCCCATAGCTCAAGTTGTTTGTGGTCTTAATAAATAGTAACAAAAATTTGCAGATTGCTCCATTTCCAACTTAACCCAAGGTCTTTTAATCTCATTTTATTTACTTCATATAAAATATTAAAAAGTCTTATAAAAGTCACAGAAATCAAAGATTTAAAAATTTTATTCCCTTCTGTCTTCTCAAAGTGTTCAAGTAAAAGAATGTTCAGACTTGTCTACTCTACTAGTTCTGATTTAAGTGTAGGTATTGCATATTTGGGTTTCCCACATGGTGCAGTAGTAAAGAATCTGCCTGCCAATGCAGGAGATGCAAGAGACGTGGGTTCAATCCCTGGGTTGGGAAGATACCTTGGAGGAGGAAATGGCAACCCACTCCAGTATTCTTGCCTGGAGAATCCTATGGACAGAGGAGTCTGGTAGGCTACAGTCCACAGGGTTGCAAAGAGTTGGACACAACTGAGCAACTGAGTATGCATGCACCATATATTTTATATTTTTCTTTGTCTTTTCTTACTTATGAGCACTTTTATTTTATCAACATATTGACCTATTAGCATCATAACTTACCGTGCATACTGAATTGCTTTGAAGGTATTTGTAAGGTCTCCACCATATTGGAATGTCTGCGATGTTGCTTTAATCATTTCATCTTTGGATTTAAAAGTATTCAGGTTAAACACAACTCTTGGATTATTGGCATATTGAATTAACCCCATCTTTAAGAGAAAAGAAGTTTATTACAGGTTTGTAATTGTTATAAATCATTCCTATGTAACCAATATAAGAAAAATCAGAAGTGCATTTATACACGGGCTGATAGCTTAAGGAAATCATTTCCAACTTTTTTCTTAAGAATAATTATTTTTCTTCCAATAGGATAACTTCCCTGTCGGAGGTCATCAGTGTACAGCAGTGGGACTTATTGACAAGCATGATAATGTGCCATTTATGTGCCATATGGTTCTCAAGAATAATAGCTGCAGCTTTTAAAGCACTGCCATGTGGATGAATAGTAGAATAAAGTTCATAACAGGAAGATTTAAATAGATTGTTCTAGTTACAAAAGGATATATATATGTTAACCATTACAAGCAATCATGGATGGAACATAACATCTCATCAATTGAGGATAATTATCTAATAAACAAAGAAGTATAGTTGAATACTAAGAAAAGTGACTGCTAATCAGTGCAGTCAGTATAAATGTCTTCACTGTGCTGGATTTCCTTCATCACAGATGTTAGAAAGGAAGCTGTTATATGTGTGTTTGGGACAGGACATTTCTGGTCTTCAGGGAGAATGCCACTGGAGGGTCTTATTTGGAAGAACCGAGAGGTAGAACAACTTCTGAACAAGACGTTTGAGCACATACCAGAATCCTTTAGATCAAGGAGGTCAAACACTTTGGTTAATGTCCTTGTACTCAGCACTGAGATCACTCTCTATGCCTAGGATTTGGGGCTTCCAGAATAGGAAGTGGTTATAAGGGAATCAGTGGTAAAGAGTTGCTGAAAATAGAGGCCAGTGTGTAAGGAAGGTGGATAGGGCAAGGCCTGGATTTCTGAGACCAGTCAGCTACTTTTGCCAGGAAGGCAGTTAACCAGCCTTCCTGGGAAAACGACCAAAAAAATATGATATTGTTGAACTCCTCTCTTCAAGGTAAGATGTAAGACTTGAGAGAGAGAGGAAAGGATCAAAAATAACTCTAAGAATCTCAAAATCTAAGCTGAGAGGAAGAGAGTGGTGACCCCTGACACAGCCCCACAACTTCTGTGTGAGAGGGAGGAAGGTGGAAGAGAAGATGTGGTAGATTAGGGCTTACAGAAAGGTCACATTTAGGTTCAAAGAAAAGATGCTGAGTAAAACCACCTTTAGAGATGAAGAAGATGCATTGGGGTTGCAAGATAGAAGAGGAAGGTCAGGAATTCCCCACGGAAACTACTAAACACAGTAAGTCACGTTACAGGGGTAATTCATTTAGAGACAGAAAATAAACAGATACAGATGAAAACTTCTCTTATGAGGGGCTTTAACAGTGATGTTCTCTAGAAACCAGTATGATACTTAGTTTTATTTAACAGAATTTTCAGTGAAAGCCCACAGTGAAACCTTCAAAGTTTTGACAGATATTAATATCCTCTTGGTATTGAAAAGCAATGTCAATGGGGAAAACATGCAATGGTATTTTATAATACTGTACAGAGATGCAGAAAGGCAAATTTAAATATAGAGAAGTGCAAAGCATTTAGGGAAAAGTGTTCCAATAACTGTTGGGCCCTGTAGCATCAGATGCAACACAGGAACTGGTAACTCTGTGGACTGGTTCCTGTTGATATTGGTTCAATGTTTTCCTACAACCAGGATGGCCCAGAAAATGGCAGATCCAACAAAAAAGAAAGAAATAACCCAAAACTTGAAAAATGCTATTCAGTGTTATAAAAGCAGGACCTTTCTGCTCCTTAATTTTGGTTGCCTACCACAGGAAGGCAACCAAAGCACTTCCCTGGTGGCTCAGATGGTAAACCGTCTGCCTACAATGCGGGAGACCCAGATTTGATCCCTGGGTCGGGAAGATCCCCTGGAGAAGGAAATGGCAACCCACTCCAGGATTCTTGCCTGGAGAATGCCATGGATGGAGGAGCCTGGGAGGCTACAGTCCATGGGGTCGCAAAGAGTCGGACATGACTGAGAGACTTCACTTTCTTTCAGCACAGAAAGAAAGAAAACCAAAGATTCTTTAAAACAGAAAGCTACACAAAAGTATTGAAAGGACTTCTGTAAAATATGGAAGTTTAGCCTCAACTATGATACTGAAGTGAAAGTCGCTCAGTCATTGCAACCCCATGGACTGTACAGTCCATGGAATTCTCTAGGCCAGAATACTGGAGTGGTAGTCTTTCCTTTCTCCAGGGGATCTTCCCAACCCAGGGACTGAACCCAGGTCTCCCACGTTGCAGGCAGATTCTTTACCAGTTGAGCCACAAGGGAAGCCCAAGAATACTGGAGTGGGTAGCCTTTCCCTTCTCCAGAGGAACTTCCCATCCCAGGAATTGAACGGGGGTCGCCTGCATTGCAGGCAGATTCTTTGCCAACTGAGCTACGACATAAATATGCTGTCTGAACTTATTTATAAAAATCCTAGAATTCAAAGATAATTTTTTCACCAGTAAAAAGAGAAAGTTATCATTATTAGTCCAAGTGTGTGTAAAAAATACATTATGGATTTTTAAGTGTATTGATTAGTGCATGAGTTAGTGGAAGAAAAAATTAGCAATGAAAGATAAATTAAGAAGCTATGTCACATATCCGATGCCTGTGTCCAAAATAGGAACCCATGCTTGAAGACCAGCATTAGGCAAAGTTACGATAGAATAACTCAACGTGGCACAAATTTCAATTAACTTTCAAGATTACCATTAAATGCCTTTAATATGGGGATTAGACAAATGCAAAGATGAAGACTGACCTCATCTCTAGTAATATTTTCTCAGAAAGAAAGCTGTGGGTTAGGGTCTATATAAAGGATGTTCATACCTGTGTTTTTGTGGGGCCTATATCTAGGCCTTGTACAAACTTTTCCAAAAAGTTCTTTACTGCATCCCAGGGATAAATACTGTTTGATTCATCACATACAACCACAACATCTATGAAGGAAGGGCACGCTACATAGGAAATGATAAAAGAAACATATTTCCATAGGTAAGACAAAAGTCACACCCACATGAAAATGAGACAAAGTAAAAGAGAATGGCACTTGCTGATACATTTTCCCCTCTTTTAAAGTAAGGCATTGCTCAGACCCTTGGCACATTCATCACTTACTCTGAACTGCAGGCGCAAAGCTGGTCCGCAACTGAAAATCGGGACTGACATCAGAGCACACCCCAGTTGTGTAATACTGACTTCCGCACTGCTGTGCCCACAGGGGACCACAGGTCTTCAAAAAACGAGAACAATGACAAAACACATCAGAAATGTTAACCTTCCACCTCGCCGTTTGTGAAGCTCAGGAATCATTTCTAAGACACTAGGAATCATCAGCTCTTGAAACTAACAGGTCAACAATGCCTTTGAGGGAAAGTGCACTGGAGCCCACAGAGGGGAAGGAGAGGGTGGCAGATGTGTTGTGCCCAGTGGCACGGGTCTCGGGGACAGGGACACTGGGACTGTCGGTGCAGGGAGGAGCCCATCAGGTCACCCACCAAATTAGAGAAGAGGGGTGCTGTCCTTCCAGAGAACAACCTGGAGAAAAAAGGGGCCAAGTTCATTTTTTGTCTCTCAGCTAACTGGGTTTCACCTGCCTCATCTATAAAATGAGGATGATCAGACCTCCTAACTTAAGGCTGTTTTGAAGACAAAATGAGTCTATGTCTGTGAAACACTTAGAATAGTACTGGGTAAATAGCAAACAATATGTAATTGTTAGCCAGCCTCATTAGCATTATTGTTCCTTGAACATATGTGTCCTCCTGTCCCTTCCATTTTCACTATTCAGCAGAAACCATAAACCCTATGTCCCCATGGGCCAGGCAGGCAGCTTGGCAGAGAGCTTGGGCCAGGTGTGGACACCGTGGTGAGTGAAGAGCCCACACTTTCTGTGCAGAGCAGATCACTGTGGCTCCTGGTCACTGGCTGCTGTGTTAGGCGAATGTGATAACTACTACACTACGGAAACCACACTCACTGGCTGCTGTGAAACAGGCCCTGTGTGGCTGAGCATCTCAAATTCTCAAGGAGAATCAAAGCAAAAATTCTGTGTGAAAATTTATAATAATAAAAAAAAAAAAAACCCTTGCAATACTTTACATGCTAAACAAACAAAGGAACTAGCAGGCTCATGAACTGCCAGTTTTTAACTCTGCAGTTATCAAAGCATTTCTTTGAGGACTTCAGAGCTGCCTGTGTCCACTCCCTAGAACCTTCAGTCATCCAAGCTGGCACTTGTCTTCTTATGCACATCATACTCCAGTTATTAATATCGCCATTAACCCAGTGCCAAAGCTCTCCCTTTCAGTAGCCCTTGAAAGGCAAGAACTCCTGATTAAATCATGTGGGAAATATCAAGTGTGTGTGTGTTAGTTGCTCAGTCATGTCTGACTCTTTGTGACTCGAAGGACTATAACCCACCAGGCTCCTCTGTCCATGGAGTTCTCCAGGCAAGAACACGGGAGTGGGTTGCCATGCCCTTCTCCAGGGGATCTTCCCAACCAAGGGATTGAACCCAGGTTTCCTCCATTGCAGACAGGAAATATTAGATTAAATACAAATCATTAGATGTGAAAGGAGAAAAAAATGGTAAAGAGAAGTCTAGTCATGATCTTAAAAAGACCTACAAAGTTTAACCTTATATAAAGCTGTGGAACAACTATTAAAACTTAACTGAAAAGTGTGGACTTGCAAAAAGTGATTGGAAGAATGAAAAGGAACTTATTTGACCCAGTTTAATTGTTGGTAGCTCAAAAGAGAAGCAGCTGTGGTCATATTTCATACTCAATGAGCAAGGCATAGTTTTTCCCTTATAAAACTGGTTCATTTTGCCAATTAGGGGAGAATCACAACTGATGCCGTGGGTATGTTTACCAAATGAGATACCAATTACTGATTTCCTACATCTGCACCCCCAAGTTGGTTTAGCTTAATCACCCTGAAAAACACTCATGAAGTATTCGAAAATATTTTTTGGTTTTAAAAGCAATGGAAAACAACATTAAGGAGTTGAAATTAGAATATGCCAATTGTTAATGCCAGAACAACATTCCTACTTTAAGCCCAGAACTTAAGAAGGTTCAAAAAATGTGATGATTGTCAGTCTTTTCCACAGTATTCTTAAGAGTATCTTAAGATTTTGACCTTTTAGGTATGGAAAGGAAACCTTAGCTTTTTTTTCTTTTTCCTTTCTTTTTTCTCTTTCCCTCCTTCCTTCTACTTGCTACATTGACTATTAAATTAACCTCAAATTCTCTTCAACTTCATTTTATATATAAGGTTTATAAGAGGTTTTACACTTACATAAAAATTGATAGTTATAGATTAAAAATTTGAAGTTACAGATTAAAAACTTTGAAGCATATTCTGTAATCCCTATTACCTCAATATATTTTCTTTCTTAATTTATTCAACTTTAAAAAAGGAAACAAGAAAGACAAAACAACCCTATGATAAAGACTTCAGAAGATGATAAACCAGGAAGATTCACTGAAATACTCATATATGCATTGATCTAACATATATTGTAAGCAACACCTAATTCACGAGTTGATACCAAAGTCTAATATCTCTCAGTAAAAACAGAATCATATTGTTCAATATTGATTATACTTTTAGAGAAATCTGTTTATATACATATGCTTTTAAGTTAGCATGTCAATGCAACATGTCATAATCAAGCTTTCTAAGATGATTTTAACAGAGATATACAACTAGGTTACACCTACATGGGCTGGTAGAAATGTCAAATGAGGTTGGGTTTTTGTTTGCACTCTTTTTTTCTTTCTTTTATCTTTTGGTGTGTGATGATTTTCTTTTTTTTTTTTCTTTTTTTTTTTTAACATAGTTGTGTCTTTTAACAATTTTCTATATTATTTTGTCTGTTAATTCCAAGGTCAGAAATTCTCTCAGAAAACTTCCATTTTCTTCTAGTTTTTTAGATTAACTCTTTAGTTCACTTGGAAGCATATTTGGATATGCAAGATATTCACCAATTAATTGTCCCCAGACCACTTGTTAAATAAGGCATTCTCTTTTACTGATTTGTGGTGGTCTTTACACAGTATTCTATAAACTAAATGAGAGTAAATGCTAACATGAAATGAGTCCAGATCATTGCTTTAAATAATATCAGAGTAGTCAATGATTATCAGAAATGATTAAAAACAAAAGTACTTTGTAGCTTTGAAACCTACTTTCTGAATTAGCTATACCTATCCAGAATGTTCCTACAGGAAGGGGAAATGAGAACTAGAATTCTGTTGTCATCAACAAATGCATTTTTCAAGGGCAAAGAATCGCTGTTCCTTCTGCCCCCTTTCCTCAAAACATTCTGTGGCAACGTTTTTGATAAATATCTTAAGATGCTTACATATCAACACATTGTTCTTTCATGTTGGCTCTCCTCTAGCATGACTTATCCAAAATTCAAGTTCGAACGTTTAAACGTCAAGATTTGGTTTGCTAGGAGGGACGGTCAGAAGACACTGACTTCATACTTGAGAGGAGAGAGGATCTGAAAAGTAAACACTCACAAGAAATCCTCCTGTTCCCACGTTCCTTGTCAGCGTCAAGCCAAGGCTCATGTTGGTTTTCATCTCAGTAACATTGGAAATGCCCGTGGAAGCTTTCAAAGGGGAGAAGATTTTTTAAAGTGGTTAAATTATCACTTAAAGACTTTTTTTTCAATGTACACTCAGGTTTATATGTAGCATTGAGTTTAGTGCTCATGGTGTGTAATCAAGTATATGGAAATTAGATGTTACATTGATCTGATACTTAAATCAGTGAGGCTGCAGAATGTGATCCTCGGGGGTGGGGTCTGCAAAGGTCATGATGACTCCATCTAATGCTTTATTCTGAATCATAAAAAACCATTCTTAAAGTGTTATCAAAGAATGCCATATGGTAGAATCTGGCCCAAAGCAACAGTAAGTGAACTTTAGAAGGCCATCATGACATGAGCATGTAGAATAACAGATAAATCTCTCCAACCTTCTCTCTCCCATTCAGCTAAGGCATCATTTGCTGTATCCATTCTTGACCTACTGAACACTGAAATTCTTTTCAATAATATCATTTTTTTCATTATCCTCTAATCTCTGCCAAGGTGTATATGTGTGTGTATATAAACATACATGTACACATACCTGTACAGCTATACATATTAGTTTTTTATTATCCTCTAATCTCTGCCACGGTATGTGTGTACATATATAGACACACATGTATACACATACATAAAATCACACTATTTCTGTAAATGTGTATATACATCATTTATCTTAAGATGTGCATGCTCAGTAACTTAGTTGTGTCCAACTCTTTGTGACCCCATGGACAGTAGCCTGCCAGGCTACTCTGATGGTGAAATTCCAGGCAAGAATACTGGAGTGGGTTGCCATCTCCTACTCCAGGGAATCTTCCCCATTCAGGGATTGAACATCCTTCACCACTGTACCACCTGGGAAGCCCTAATCCTAAGTTATCTACTCATTTATAAACATATGCATAAAATTTCTAAAAATAAATATATATATATATTTATGGGTGAGAGCTCAAAAGTTTTATTATACAGTTTATCCCCTATTTCCCAGGATGCCCATTTAAAAACTTCATCCTTCTTCTCAAGCCTCCAAACTCAACCCAGATTCCATCACTCTCTAGTGCAAAGAAGATAATCACACTCGAAGGGTAATCTCAACTTCTCTCATCTTTACCTAAAAGTCCTTCTAGAATTCTGACTTGTCTCTTTTCTCTGTGTCTCAGAAAAGGGAGCATCCTTCGTAAGACTCATTTTCTCAGGTACCAGAGACATTAATTTCATCCAGTTAACTTCATTCTTGACTGGTCATCACTCCCTTTTATTGCCTCCTTCCTCTCTCCTTACAAATAGGATCCGTCAGTTCAGTTGCTCAGTTGTGTCCAACTCTTTCCAACCTCAAGGACTGCAGCACCCCAGGTTTCCCTGTCCATCACAACTCCTGAAGCTTACTCAAACTCATGTCCATAGAGGCGGTGATGCCATCCAACCATCTCATCCTCTGTTGTCCCCTTCTCCTCCTGCCTTCAACCTTTCCCAGCATCAGGGTCTTTTCCAATGAGTCAGTTCTTCACATCAGGTGGCCAAAGTATTGGAGTTTCAGCTTCAGCATCAATCCTTCCAATGAATATTCAGGACTGATTTTCTTTAGGATGGACTGGTTTTATCTCCTTGCAGTACAAGGGACTCTCAAGAGTCTTCTCCAACACCACAGTTCAAAAGCGTCAATTCTTCGGTGCTCAGCTTTCTTTATAGTCCAACTCTCACATCCATACATGACTATTGGAAAAACCATAGCTTTGACTAGGTGGACTTTTGCTGGCAAAGGAATGTCTCTGTTTTTTAATATGCTGTCTAGGTTGGTCATAGTTTTTCTTCCAAGGAGCAAGCATCTTTTAATTTCAGGGCTGTAATCACCATCTGCAGTGATTTTGGAGCTCAAAAAATAAAGTCTGTCACTGTTCCCATTGTTTCCCCACCTATTTGCCATGAAGAGATGGAACTGGATGCCATGATCTTAGTTTTATGAATGTTGAGCTTTAAGCCAACTTTTTCACTCTCCTCTTTCACTTTCATCAAGAGGCTCCTTAGTTCCTTTTCACTTTCTGCCATAAGGGTGGTGTCATCTGCCTATCTGAGGTTATTGATATTTCTCCCAGCAATCTTGATTCCAGCCTGTGCTTCCAGCCCAGCATTTTGCATAATATACTCTGAATATAAGTTAAATAAGCAGGGTGACAATATACAGCCTTGACGTACTCCTTTCCCGATTTGGAACCAGTCTGTTGTTCCATGTCCAGTTCTAACTGTTGCTTCTTGACCTGCATACAGATTTCTCGGGAGGTAGGTAAGGTGGTCTGGTCTCTTGAAGAATTTTTCAGTTTGTTGTGATCCACACAAAGGCTTTGGCATAGTGAGTAAAGCAGAAGTAGATGTTTTTACTTATAAGATCATTTCCTTTTTATTAGAAAAATCATTTCTTAACCCTGCTATCTTATCAAACTATTTTGCCAATTCTCCTTCACTACTTAACTTCTGGAAATAGAGGTCTGCTTCTGTGGATAATTAAAACCCAGCAATTCCAAACAGTTACAAACAATTCTACCAAAAAAAAATTCCAAATAGTGATTTTTCTTTTTTTAGTAGAATAAGATGATTTTAACATGACCAGAAACACACAGTGTTCCTCAGTAACCTCCAAATTATCTAGGACTGATGTTTCTAGGGAGGGAGAGAAGTATGAATAGTCTCAGATTTCTGTTAGTAATCACCAAAATCATCCTAAATGTTGGTGGAAACTGGTCCACAGACTGGGCCAGATGGTCTAGGAGGCAGCACGTTTCCCACACATCTTACTTAATGAGGTTATCAAGCTGTGTTGGAAGTTTGGATACAGTTGGACCCCATATGACTACAGAGATAAAGGCAACAAAAGCAGTCTATATTTCTTAAAGACAAAACTCTGGTTCTGTTGTCTTTTTTTCAACTGAGTATATAACAAGATTTTGTTATGTAAAGAAAAAACCACATTGCTAATTATAACTTACTTTGCAAATTCAATTTTTCACATGTAGTGGTGGATAGATCAACAGGACATTTATATACATCTCCCATTCGATCCTTGGGAAAGCCACTCCATGGTGAACCAACCAGTAACCTAGAAATAGGGATTTTATTTTCCATTAGACATTAAATGTTAGCTATAGTGTCTTAAAGGTAAAGCTGACCACAAAACAGTAAAAAAATCCACATTTAATTTCAATTTAATAAGTGAACAGTTTCTATTTGCTCAGCTATAATTTGTTGTTTTTCTTTTCTTCTTAGCTGATGAAGAAATTGATGAACATCTGCAGTACAGTGGTCTTGCCACAATACCTGGGAGGTCTCTCTAAAGCATTTCTGTCCAGTGGAAATATAATGCAAGTCACAAATGTGAGGCACATATGTAATTTTAAGTTTTCTAGTGGCTGCATCAATAAACCAACAAAAAAAGGCAACAGATGAAATTAACTCATTTAGATAATATATTTTCTTTAACTCAGTATATCCATACTAACTTGCAATCAATATTAAAATTACTGAGCTATTTAACATTCTTTTTCCATACTTAGTGCTTGAAATTCAGTGTGTATTTTATATTTTGAGCACAATCAAGTAACATGTCAAGTGCTCAGTAGCCACAAGTGGCTAGTGGCTACCATATGGCTCAGTATAGCTCTAAAGAATGAAATAATATTAAAACCTAAAGCAAGAACTAACATCTGTTGAGTGTCTTCCATGCCCTAAGCACTTTCATATGTTATTTAGGGAGCACATAAGTTATCTAAGTGGCTTCATGTTTTACTGTCTATATAAGGGAATGCTCAGTAAAAATACAGAGCAATATATACCCACAGCAATTACTGTGGGTCTCTCCTTATGTGCATCGTGTTGGAATACAGAAGCTGGAATACAGAAGCAGAGGACAGAGGTAGGTGCTAACGTTTTCCTTTTGGTTAGTTTCACTTCCTACAGAGCTTTCCAAAAAGATATTATGCATTTCCCTGTAGAATCACTGGACATTTCTGGCCAAGAATGGACAGAAAGCATCCACATAACAGTCTGATCTTTAGAAACTCCTGTAGGCTAACTACTCAGCAGCAACCAATGACTAAGGAAGCATATTTGACTCAATGTTTCTTCCTTGTCAAAGTTGGGAAAGATTAGATTATTGATCTATGAAACTTAAATTCTTTATGATACTTCTAAATATTTTGTCATTATTGATTAAACAGCATGTGCTCAATTAAGTGCTATAGTGAATTAAGAAAAACCTAAGGCACGTTTATGTCTACTAAATGTGGTAAAACTATTTAAAAAAATAACAAGTAAAAAAATAATAATCATAACAAATGGAAATATATTAATAAATTGCTCTTAAAAAAAATTTAAATGGTCAAAGGAAGCTAACATGGACACAGAAGGATGAGGCTGGTAGCTGGCATTCTTATCAGAGGGAGCAGCATAAACAATCATGGAAAGAGGGAAATACAAATTATTCTGAAAGAGTTAATGATTCAGTAATAATCTTCTCCCCTTATCTTATACAAATATTCTCAAGCAAGTATTTTGTAGAGGATTCTAGAATACTTTAAACGAGTTAACTTTGATTAAGGTTAGAGTTGAAAGTTTTTGTCTTCTTATGAGTAGATACTTTACCTAATTTATCTGTTAAAATATTGACTATAGAAACCATCTACAAGACAAAAAGACAGACTAATGAATGGGAGAAAATATTTGCAAATGCTAAGACCGATAAGGGATTAATGTACAAAGTGTAGAAACAGCTCCTACCACTCAACATCAAAGGAAAAAAAAATCTAAAAAAAAAAGGCAGAAAACCTGAATATACAGTTTTCCAAAGAAGACATACAGATGGCCAACAGGCACACAAAAAGTTCCTTAAAATCATCAATTACCACAGAAATGCAAATTAAAACCACAGTGAAATATCACTTCACACCTGTCAGAACAGCTATCATCAAAAAGACCACAAATAATGGATGTTAGTGAGGGTACGGAAAAAAGGGAACCCTAGGACACTGCTGGTGGGAATGTAAATTGACAGTCACTGTGAAAAACTGTGGAGGTTGCTCAAAAACTAAAAATACAACTATCTTATGACCCAGCAATTCTATTCCTGGATATATATCTGGAAAAGAAAATGAAAATGCTAATTTGAAAAGATATGTGCACATCAATGTTCATAGCAACATTATTTACAATTGTCAAGATATAAAAGCAACCTAAGTGTCCATCAATAGATGAATGGATAAAGAAATATGGCATACACACACACACACACATACACACACATATATGTATACATATATAAGTAGGTAAAGAGTCTGCCTGCAGTGCAAGAGAATTGGTTCAAGCCCTGGGTCCGGAAGATCTCCAGAGAAGGGAATGGCAACCTACTCCAGTATTCTTCCCTGGAGAATTCAGTTGACAGAGGAGCCTGGAGGGCTACAGACAGTCACAAAGAGTTGGACATGACTGAGTGACTGACTTTCACATACACATACAATGGAATACTACTTAGTCATAAAAAGGATGACATTTTTATTATCAAACTTTATTTTAAAATTTTAGCATGCAAGTTTCCATCTATTTTGATTGAAGGAATTTTTAACTATAGAATATAGTTGGTCCCCTATAGGATAATGCAGCTCACATCACAAGTTCAACTTAAACCTTCAATTTGGAGTAAAACACATGAGTGTTGCTAAATGTCCTCAATCACCACTTCCTTGCACTCTGGGGAAAGAAAATCCCGAGGTAGTGGGTGGGAACAGATGCTACTTAAGTATTAAGAATTCCACATGAGCTATTTTAAAATGTAAATCCTTTTCAATCTGAGTTTTTGATTAATTTTCAGCTAATAATTTCTTATGGTAACATTATAACAAGGTTTTATAAACATGCATCGGTAATTTTTACTTTAGTCACAAATACAGTTTTTTTGCTAAAAAAAGAAAAAAAAATGGTATTTTGCCATTTGAAACAACATGAATGGACTTGGGGGTATACGCCAAGTGAAATAAGTCAAACAGAGAAAGACAAATACTGTGTGATATCACTTATATGTGGACTCTAAAAAATAAAACAAACTAGTGAATATAACAGAAAAGAAACAAACTCACGGATACAGAGAACAAACTAGTGACTACCAGTGGGGGGGGGGGGCAGGAGAAGGAGCAATACAGCGGTAGGGGATTAAGACGAACAAACTATTATGTATAAAACAAACAAGCTGTAAGGATATATAGTCCCAAACAGGAAATAAAGTCAATATTTTATAATAACTCTAAATGGAATATAACTAAAAAATTGTGAACCACTATGTTGTACACCTGAAACTTTTACATTAATAATATTGTACATCAACTATACCTCAATTAAAAAGTAATACATCAAAAATATTGTCTATAAAGAGGAATGCAATAACACCAGGCATATAGGTTAAGATTTCTGAAAAAGACAGAAATTGATATGTTGGCTGTAAGTCCCAATATTTGCTTTAGTGAAGGAAGAGAATCAAAGAGCAGGATCTGAAGTGCATGTTTGAGCGTATCTGATGTTCTTCAAGTTCATGACAACTCAGAGGAAATTAGGAAACTTATGAGGATTCTGCATTGTAAAAACTATCTTCCAGCAGCTTGATGTCTCCATTTCTACAAGTCTCTGGTCTTCATGCCATAGTGGGACTATACAGAATTACCTTTAATCTTTGTGTGCAGGATACATCTTAAAATATAAGAAAGAAAGAGACTGAAAAATGAAAAAGAATATATATATATATATGTATGTATAAAATGGAATCAATTTGCTGTACACTTGAAACTAACAACATCATAAATCAACTATGATAAAAAAAATTTTTTAATTAAAAAAAGAAAGGAAGAGACAATCTGGCCTTTGTTTGCTTTTCCAGCCCTGTTTTATTCACATACTTTCCTGAAATTCTGTATTTGAGTCATTAGACTCTGATCTGGTGGAGAAGCTGGGTTCTTTTTGCTTCTAAACCTTCACACGTGCTGTTCTCTGCCTGGAAAAATTCTGCTCATTACTTAGGTCTCCCATTAGACAACCACTTCCTCCAAGAAGTCACCTGGTTCTTCCACATTTGAGCAAGGTGGATTTCCTAAGTAATTTCTTAGCCTCTGAACTTTCTCTGTCCTGGTTTTCATCACATTACCCTGTAAGGGCCTGCCCCCTGACTAAATACCACCCGCCCCCCAGGAAGGAAAAGTCCATGGGGACTAGGAATCCTGCCTATAGCACTGAGTGACTATGTGTCGAATGAATGAATGAAAAAACAACTGAACAAACAAATGGATGACTCTACATTATTTTTTAATATTTCTATTAGAGTATAGTTGATTTACAATGCTGTGTTGATTCTACATTATTACCTGGCACTTCCCTTGTGGCTCAGCTGGTAAAGAATCTGCCTGCAATGTAGGAGACCTGGGTTCGATCTCTGGGTTGGGAAGATCCCCCAGAGAAGGGAAAGGCTACCCACTCCAGTATTCTGGCCTGGAGAATTCCATGGACTCTATAGTCCATGGGGTCACAAAGAGTTGGACACAACTGAGCAAATTTCACATACACACACAAGAATTCTCTTGTTAAGGAAAAGTTGAATAGAAAATTTTTATTTCTTTTTGTCTGAATTAAAGATAAAATAAGCAAAAAAAAGAGGTGAAAAAACTCCACCAAGTGGAGAAGAAAGCATTATATGGGTACTATTCTATTAATTGTTCCTGATTCAGTCTCCACGTAGCTATTTGACACATGATGTGTCAAACTCATGTCTTTATTTTTTAAACAAAGACTGACTGAGGAGTCTGTAGGGAACAACATAGCACCTTATAGCAAGAAACTATAACAAAAAGTGTGGCTTTGCCCCTTTAAACTCTGGGAATTTATATTAATGACAGCAAATCTTACAACCGATGCTGTATAGGAGGCTTTCCGAATATTATTAAGTCCCTGTGCCAAATGGGCCTGAGATTATTTTATCTCCATTTTACAGATGGGATCACTGAGACAGATGAGCAACTTACTCATATTCACATGGGTCGTGAAAGCCAAGCATAACTGATTCTGACG